GAGGGAGAGAGAGAGAGAGAGCGCTTTTAGTTTTGATCTGGTGACTTTCTTTTTTGTTCCTACTGTAGTTTGAGGAATGGATAAGAAGGTGTTACAGGGGTTGTGTTGGACCCTAGAAGTGGAGGAATCATAATCTTCCTCTACTCCCTTAGAACTGTAAAGATTTGGTGACTTGGCCCATTCCCTGTTGATGTGCTGAGACTGTATGGATGCTAAAATCTATTCCTTCTAGCGTATTGATTCTCATTTCCTTTATAGATGATAGACAAAATGAGAAAGCTGTACTTCATGAGGGGAGATGTGCTGTTAGCACCTGTCATGTTCAAAGCATTAGCTAAAGCAGGTGAAACTAGGACTTTTCAGACATGAATCAGTGGTTCAGTTTTGTATTCAGTCTTGCATAGGGTCCCCAGGTCCTCATAATTCTCTTCCAGTGTCCTAGAATTAGGTTAGTATAGCTCATAGGAAGTCCTTTTTGTCATGGAGATTGGCAGACTACTGGCTTGACTTTTCACACATGCTGGGGAATTTTAGGACATTTGAATGGTGTTAAGGAAACCTTTCTTTGAACTGTATCTGTGGAACCTCAGCTGAGGCAAAGCTGTCCCCTGCCCATACTGAATCAGATGCCCTATCAATGCAGATGAACTTGATTCACAAAGCCTGTCCCCGTTGCAGTCTTGGAAGAGCCTCACAGCCAACCTGGTCTCTGATGTAGACAGACGAATGGCAGAAACCACACATGGTTCAGGAGTAGCTGGAGCTACCGAACTTTCTGTCAATTTGGGGAAATTTTTGCCTAGATAATTTTCTCATCTCCAGGACTGGTTACTTGTGAGACACATGAGGGACACTGAGAGCTGTCTAGCTCTAGCCAGGGAAAGGAGTAGAAACCCCTCAAATTCTTTTGATTAGACTGGCTCTCATTGCTAAGGGCCCTTGAGTTGCATGGATGTCTGAAAGGACCTAGAAGTCAGAAATCCCATCCCCTGAATCTTCTAGGCATTTATCTCCCTCTGTGCTCATCTCTCTTCTACTCACCCTCATGCTTCAATGTGGTGAGGAAGCAAGAGATTATCAGGAACGCTGCAGGATGCTTAATGTTCATAGGACATTCTTCTGGCCTCCTGCCACAAATTAGGATTTAGCCTAATCCCCAAATGTTGCAGGTAGGAGGCCCTTGGAGCTGCCCCTTCAGTTCTGCTTGACTCTGACTTGGGAAAGATAGGCTAGAGCCAGAGGACAAATCTACATCCCCATGACTCTTAGGATCACACTAGTTGTGACCTGGCTAGTAGTGTCTCAGGAGTCTCACCTTTAATTACTAGTTCTATTACTGTCCCTCCATCCTAAGCCTTGTCTGTCCTAAGCTAGGTTTACCTGTCATACTGGCCCTTTGGGAAATTTTGTCCCCAAAACAAGTTGCTGTTGTAAGAAGGAAATTGATAGTGTTTGTTTAATCCTTCTGCAGCAACAGATAATAAATAGAAGGTAAACTTGTGAAATATAATAGGTTTGCTTGCTGCTTTTCCTGGTCTGGAAATTTTCTAGGAGAAGTTTTTCTTGTTTTACTTCTTTGAGAGTCCTATCAGAAATTTTCAGGCAACCCTTAAATTAACCATCTGCTTTTCAAAAGCCTTAGCATTTTTCTTCTTACAAGGCCTCTTTCTTGTCCCTTCTGCTCTATTCCCTAGGATTACAAGTTATTGTATTTTTAGGGAAATTTTGTTGTGAAGCCCCTACAGAGCTGCACAAGCCTGACCCCAAGGCTTCCTCCCTGAGTTCAACTTTACCATCATTCCTCCTTTAAACAGATTAAATGGTCTTAGCCACAATTGTGTGATCCCAACTAAGCTGTCCTGTTAGAGTGTATGCCGCATTATACTTACCATGGAGCCCTTTAGATTAGAAAGGACAACATTGATTATCCTGGCGGGGGAGGGGGTTGGTTTGTTTGTTTTTAAGATTTTGCTGCCGGTGGCGCACGCCTTTAATCCCAGCACTTGGAGGCAGAGGCAAGTGGATCTCTGAGTTCGAGGCCAGCTTGATCTACAGCGAGTTCCAGGACAGCTAGGGTTGTTACACAGATAAACCCTGTCTCAAAAAAACAAAACAACAACAAAAGGATTTTGCTTTATTTTCAACTATGCATAAGCATGTATGCCTGTGTGAGTACATATGCTTGTGGGGCCAAAGATGTCAGATCCCCTGGAGCTGGTGTTACAGGCAGTTGTGAGCCACCAGCTCTGCATGCTAGGAACTGAACTTGGGTCCTCCTCAAGAACAGCAGGCACTCTTAACCACCAAGCCATATCCTTAGCCCCACATTCTTTATTTAAAGGAAAAGACTTGGTTAGGAACAGAGGAAAAGGAATGGTACTACCACCTGTATGAGCCTTCAACCAGGTATGCCAAGTGTTTATCATGAGCTCTGAATGTGGTCAAGGCTCCTGCCAAATATATATGTATGAAGAGATTCATCCACAGGCCAGGCAGTCATATTCTGGATGATTAGAAATGAAGTTCATAAATTCCTCTGGGCTTTTTCCTCCCTCCTTTTCCTTTTTTGAGATAGGGTCTTACGGAGCCCAGGCTCCTGATTCTCTCCCTTAAGCACTAGGATTGCAAAGGTGTGTACCACTGTACCTGATGTCATTGGGCTGGATTTTAGTTAGAAAAATTTGTGAACCCTAGCTAATTCTTTGAGTCAAGTCTTACAGGAAGGCTTTTAAAAAAAAAATGTATATTTATTTACTTAATGTGTATGGATATTTTGTCTGCATATATGTCTGTGTACCACATGCATGCCTTATGCCCAAGGAGACCAAAAGGAGACCAGAAGAGGATGTTGGATCCCTGGGACTGTAGTACAGATGGTTGTGAGCCATCATGTGGATGCTGGGAATTGAACCCTGACCCTCTAAGAGAACAGCCAATGCTCTTAACCACTGGGCCATCTTAACAGCCCAGCATAGGAGGTTTTTGTCATTGTTGTTTGAGTTTGGCTTGGGATTTTTTGTTTGTTTTTGTGTTTTAATTTTGCCTGTGTGTGTAGGTGCACTTAGCATGTGTGAAGGTCATACAACAGCTCTCAGGAGTCACCTGTCTCCAGACTCCTTGTGGGGTATGGGGGTCATCAGGTCATCAGGCCTCTTGCAAGTTCCTCTGCAGACTGAGCCATCGCTGTGGCCCATTGTTTATTTGTTTTGTTTTGAGATAGAGTCTCAAAATGGCCTTGAACTTCTGATCCTCCTGCCTCAACTTCTAAGTGCTGGGATCCCAGATGTGTTCTGTCATGCTAGGCCGAGTTCCTTAATCCAACAAACACAGTTAGGACTCAAGCCAAAGCCAATTCTGTGTTGGCTTGAGTCAACCTGAGGACCATAGCAAAGCCATTCTAGAACAGTCCCAGTAGCTATTAGACACATTTCTCAGTGCCACACCTGACAAGTTACTGATATCAGCATTCTCTGTATGGTAATATATGGAATGCACATGCATTGTAGAGACTGTCTTGATAAGAGCCTTTCCAGTCGGTATCCAAGACACATGTATCCATATTTTCAAATCCAAGACTGCTTGATTTGAGCAGAGGTAATTCATCCCTGCTTTACAGTTTAAATTTCAGGGAGGCTAGAACAAAAGCAGAAAGAAATGAGAAGAAATGAGAATCTCAACTCCTGCCCTTTCATAGACTCTTGTTAAAGATCCTAAATGCAGGTTCCTCGAAACAGAATCAGCAGCTACCATTTATAAGCTTATGCCATGCCAGGCAATTTTTATATCCCTATTTCTTAAATTTTCCTAGTTATTTGAATGCAAGGGTGTGTGTGGGGGGGTCAGATCCGTGTCCCCCATTCCCCTGCCATTTGTATGTAGTACTTGGCATGAAACCCAGAGGTTTTTTTGAGATAGAGTGTCACATAGCCCAGACTGGTTTTTAACTTTTTGTGGCCAAAGATGACTGACTGGTCTTCCTGTCTCCTCCTCCTCCTAAGTGCTGGGATTTCAGGTTGCATCACCAGACCAAGTTTATGTGGTGCTGAAGATCAAACTCAGGGCTTCATGCATGCTTAGGCAAGCTTTCTGCCAATTGGGCTGTATCCTCAGACTTAATGTGGGCGATTTTTAAGCTGAGATCTAAACAAGTTGTTATGTAGTCATATCAGGGTTCAAAGTTAAGTTCAAGTAAATGCCCCTGTCTTTCATTTCTCTCTTCCCTGCCCCAGTCTCTGACCAAAGGTGCTTTTGAAATGACTCTCAGGTCAATGTCAGAGACCTTGTCACTGGATTTCTCTTGGGCCCAAACTGTAGATGAAGGCAGGTCACCCTTAGGACAAAGTAGCTTTTGGGGAGGTAACAGAAATTACTGAAAGGGGAATTTCTGCCTTTGAGACAGGAGATGGATCTAATGGTGGTTTATGTAAGCCAGAAGGCAGTCATGGGCCTGCAAGTTGAAGATTCCCCTCTGCCCTGCTCCCCACATCTGAATATACCTTTTGGATTTCCTTAACAATAGCAGTTTTAACAGTGCTTTTAATTAGCTGAATTAAGAATGTTCTCTGATGTTATCACCCCCTCCCGCCCCCCTATCACCTCCAATTCCCCATTGCTGTGAGAGCTCTGGGGTTTCCATAGTAACAATACTACCAGCCCAGGTTGACTTTTACTGGTTATATGCTGGTCAGAGGAAAGTTATGGCCCATTCGTTTCTAGTGTGGTAGGCTGTAGGTGAGGCCTTTCTGGTCCTGATGTCAGAGCAATGAGGTGAGGAGTGCTGAGAGACAAAGAATGTAAGTGTGCCCCTAGAAGAGACCTAGCTCTCTGGAAAGTAAGAGGGCTCCCACTCCTCCTTCCCCAGGGTCTCAGATGAGTTGAAAGTCAACCCATTCCCAGCCTAAAGTCTCAACTCCCTGTGGTTAATTTGATCCTCCTTGGATTTTGTTATTTTTGGTAACAAGTTGTTTTTCCTCCCATTCTCTTCTCTGTCTCCCACCCAGAGAGTTTTCAACGTCCTTTACCCCATGCCTGCTGACCAGCGGAGACATGTCAGCATCAACTCTGCCCGTTGGCTACCTGAGCCAGGGCTTGGTTTGGCCTATGGCACCAACAAAGGAGACCTGGTGATCTGCCGACCAGAGTGAGTTCCTCAAGGGGTGGGTATGGACACTATCTGAACAGAGGCCTAGGCAAAGCAGTGCTCCCTTGTGGGCCTGGCCAACCAGGTAGGGGCCTTTTACAAGGACAATCCAAATCCTGCTAGAAAGGGATTGGAGGTAGTACATGAAGGACATGAGCAAAAGGTTGAAGTTCAAAACTAACCTCGACTAATGAAACCCTGTCTTAAAAGGGGGGGAGGGGGACCTTCTGTGTTTTCATATTGTTCCCACACCACAACTTCCCAGGCTGCTTAAAGGACCTTCTTCTCTCAAGCTAGAATAAGCTCTTCATTCCAAATGCTGTCAAAAGACTGCTTTAGTAGCTGGGTGTTGGGTGGTACTACTATAATCCCAGCTGCTTTGGAGGATGGAGCAGAAGGATTATGAGTTCAAGTCCAGCATGGGTTACATAGTGAGCTCCAATGTCACAGTAACAGAGGGCTGAGAATGTAGATCAGTGGTAGAGGCTAACATATGTAAGGTTTTATGGTCAATCTCTGGCACTGCCAAAACAAAAAAAAAAGCCAGACACTTCAGATATTGTGCTTTCTTGACTCTAGACAGTTTGTGTTCTCCTTTGTTGCCTCTTATTATCTGGTTTCCTAGCCATTGTAAAGTGCCCTCAAGTTAAAAAAAAAAAACAGATATCAGAGGTTCTTTTTAAAACCTGTTTTGGAAAAATTCAACAAGTGGTCTCATGTTTATGTAAATGCAACAGATACTAATGTAAGAAATAAAACTGGAAACGGTCTTGTTAAAACCCCAGTTTGGGGACCTGGAGAGATGACTGAGTAGTCAAGAGTACTCTTTCTCTTGTAGAGACCCAGATTAGGTTCCCAGTACTCAAATGGTGGTTCACAACCATTTGTAACTGTAGTTCAGGGGATCTGATGCCCTCTTCTGATCTCCGTGGGTACCAGGATAGATGTGGTGCATATACATCCATGCAGACAAACATACACATAAAAGAATTTATTTTATTATTTTATATATAATTATGAAATAGTATGTTATTATTTATATTGCATCTACAATATATTATTATATGCTATAATATATACTAAAATAAACATACACATGAAATAAATAAACCCATTGGTCAGGCTACTGATCTCTAACAGCCTGTTTCTGTGTCTTGCCTCTGTTCCTTTTTACTTGAAGCTCTAGCTCATAATAATGAAAGCAGATTGAGAAGCTCAATTTAAAGTCACAGTGATTATTATCTGGACTTGAAGTAAGAGAGAGAAGGGGAGCAAGAGCACTTCTGTCCAAATGACACCCTTTTCCCTTCCTCTGGCTTTTTGGAGGATAGAGGTCTCTCCAGGTACTTACTCAAGACCCTGGAATCAGCCTGATTTATTATCAGTTTCTAGGCTCAGCCAGGTGGAGAGTGTGAAGCCCTGCTTCACTGCAGATCAGGCTGATTGCTTCGTGGGACACTGTGGGGAGCCAGCTGACTAAATGCCACTTCTGCCTCCAGGCTGCCCTAATTCTGTTCTTCACTTGGTGCAGTTTCTAGAGTGTTGTACAGACCAGGCTGCATGTTGTGACTGGTCTTGCAAAGTCTTTGGTCTTTAGCCTTTGGATGTACCCACATCCTCTTTATTTCTATTTATCTTATTTTTTTGGAGATAAGATCTTATGTATCTCAGGCTAGCCTCAGAATTTCTATATTGCCAGGGAGGATCTTGAACTTGTGATCTTTTGATCTTCTTGCCTCCACCTTTGAGGTGCTGGGATTATTACACCCATGTGCCATTATACCCAGTTTGTGCTAGACCAGGGACTGAATCCAGGGCTTTGTATGTTAATTTGCTGGGCAAGCATTCTTCACCTGATTTACATCGCCACCTTCCACATGCCTTTGTTTGTGCTTTGGTGGGGTCTTGGTGTTTTTTTCTGAGTATGTATTTGGATCTGTTCTTGTGGTGTGATAGGTGACTGGGGATTGACCCTGTCAGCTCTCAGCTAAGTTAGGACAATGGCACATGGGAGAGAAAACCTGGTTCATTCCATCTTGAATATTTGGACACCCTCCCAAAGAGAGGCTGTGTTTTAAGTTTGACCCAACAAAGCTGGTCTTGGAGCAGAGAGAGGGCCTTGTTCTGGCAATTACTTGCTCCTAAGTTTCTGTGTCCAGGACACCTCTCTCACTCCTTATTGTGTCTTTCCAGAGCATAGCCTACCTCTTTGACTGCCACTTTTAGCCCAGATGTTGGACCTGTCACTTTTCGTTCTCTCCGTGTGCTGTCCCTAGTCTGGTATCTGTGGGCTCTTAAACACTTCTTCGCCCCAAACCACATGAAGCTGATTATCTTATTTCGTCTCTTTAGGAATTCCTAAGAAAAATCTAGTAGACATCTTTTCCAAAATTGGTACAGGATTCTGGACCATAATTTTATTCACACCAATACTATAGTTATAGGCCTTTCTTTTCCTGTCTTTCAGAGACCTCATTCTTTCACGATCTTGTTTTATCTATGGCTTCCACCACTCACCTTTGTCCACAGCAAAGTACTCAAGCCCTCTCCTTGACAAAGTGATCCACCCTCCCAGAGGCACTCTCTAACCCAGTTTGTTGTCATCCTCCCAGATGCCATGTCTCAAACCCTAGCCCACGTAGTTGGTGTGAGTCACAGACTCCTCAGCCAGACATGAAGGTGGCTTTGGCCTCTATTTCTCTCTTCTCCCCATATGTTGTCTTCAGCATCCCAGAGTCTCGTCGAGCCTAAGCCATCTTGGGCTCCTAGGAAACTTACCCACCAGTAGCTTTCAAGCCTCTTCCCTAAATAAAATGGACACTGGGCCATGGGGCCGTCCCATCCTAGGCCAAATGGAGGTAACTTAGCCTACCAGTTTTGGTTCTGCCATTTATTCTGATTTCTTGGGATCCCATAGCCTTAAGACAGGAAATTTAGGGTCTGTTATAAATTCAGAATGGATGAGACTTTGTCTTAAGTTCTTCAAAGTTTCCCCGAGGTCTCACTCTGTAGCCAAGGCTGACCTTGACCCATATTGTAGCCTGGACTCTCACACTCCCTGTCACAGGCTCTTTCCACTATGCCAAGCTTAAAGCTCAGCTGCCTTTATAGCTGTTATTTGCACTTCAGGTAAGGTAAAAAAAAATTATTGATTAGATAGGCATCCCCACAAATCATTGTTAGAATTGGGTCTCTGAATTTTCCAATCCAGATCTTTTTCCTATAACTGATATTTAGCTCTTTTCCCATCAAAAAATCCCTCTAAAGCTGGGTATGGCGGTGCATGACTATAATCTCAGGAGGCTGAGGCAAGAATGTCTTGAGTTTGAAGCTACCTTGGGTTAGGTAGCAAGACTCTGTGTCAAAAAAATGAAAAATAAAACAGGGCTTTTGACATGGCTCAAACAGTCAAGGGCCTGCCTCTGAGTTTGATGACTGAGTTTAACCCCCAGAACTCACACGGTAGAAGGAGACAGCCAACTCCTGAAGTTCTCCTTTTAACTTTAGATGAATGTCACACACACGTACACAGAATAGCTGTGGCTTTTAGTTGGTTTGTTTGTTTGTTTTAATTTTGAAGAAAGTAACATTTTCTCCTGCATAAAAGTATATCACAGGACCATACTCATGCTTCTGTGGCTCCCTAGGTCCTATTTAGGTGAATCAAATGACTGGTTCGTTGGAAAATGGGACTGTAATCCTGAGTGTTGACATGGATAACAGGCCTCTTGCCTAGACTAAAAACAGTAGGAGTAGGAGCTCAATGTGCCTGTCTGCTTCATAGGCAGCTGCTTAAGGCTTCTGCTGTCCCTGAGGGATGTAGTTCCCTGGCACACCCATTCCCAAGAGCACAGAATCCAGCCTACCAGCTGGGCCAAGATTGCAGCCCTCCCCCTAAACAGGTGGTTGTCTGCCTTTGTCCAGGCACAGGCAGCTGGGTTGCATTTTGTGCTCTCAATGCTGGTCTTGATTCTCTTCCATTGTCTCAGCCTCAGCACTCTTGCCAAGCACAAAGACTGGGAACAAGCTCCTTGGGTGTCTCTTGGTGGTTGTAAATCCCCACTTGACAGTAGACAAAGGCTTTAAAGAATATCCCATCTCACCCTGAGAAAGAACTCTTAGGACAAGTGAAAAGACTGTCCCTTAAGGGCCTGTACCAAGTTATCAGACCATGGTGGCCAATAGCCCAGTAATCGCTTCCCCCTTCCTAGTAATGAGGTGTACCTCACTACTTCCAGGCTGCTGCTGTTGTGCCTCTGGCTGATTGCCAGCTCAGCCACCCCCACTGCTCCTCACAGTGGGTGTGAAGGACCACTGCTTCATGGGTTTTCCCTGTTAATGGGGGTCCAGGGAGGCGTTACTAGACCACTGCTTCTAGAGTCAGCTCAGAAGGCAGAAGAGAGATTGGTAGAAGAAAAGTAGCCTGAGCATGGAGCACCTGGAACCTTGGCCAAGGGTGGCACTTCTTACAAAGCCCCAGTTCTGTCCCTCAGAGGGAGCTACCAGTGTAAATGGTAATTATAATCAAGCATTAACCAAGCAGGGGAAAGAAACACTTTGGAATGAAAAGGGGAGCCAGAACTGCCACAGAGACTCCATCCTTCAGGAAAGCCAGGTGCCAGCTCTCTCCCTCACTGTAGAGATGGTGCAGATAAATGCCAGTCTTCTTGGAAACAATCCTCAGAGACAGCCCTGAGACCAGCAGATGAAGAGTGTTCTCAGTTAGGAAGCTCAGAGCCACAGATTGTGTGGACAGAACATTGGGACCACTGAGAAAGCAAGGCTGGCTCTTGCCTCTATCAAGGAGCCCAGGAGGGTTCCAGCAGTGAGACTGATTGAGCCACACCTAGAAACACAGCTTAGAGAGGCTGCTGAAGAGTCAGGTGCTGGGTAGAAGCCCATTTGAAACATGGCCCCTTGTTGACCTTCCCAGTCCTTATCCCTTGGTGTGTTTGTCTAGATCCCAGGAAGAGCCTAGAGAAAACAGTGACTCATTCATCTAAACCAAGTCCCAAGAAAGAGCCGGCTGTAAACCATTCTTTTAACTTAAAGGCAGAATCAGTGACATTTAGTCACCAGAGAGGGTGTCTTCAGCTCTGATCCTTTAGTACAGTACAGTACCCAGATTTGAAATCAAATCCAAGACTTGCCTTGCCTTTGTCAGGCTCACTGGCCACAGAAACAGAACAGTATAGGCAGGGCTCAAACTCAAGATCCTCCAGCCTTACCCTACAGGCATGTGCCTGTAATCACACGCCCAGCTGTGATCCCTGTTCTCTTTGGCAGTTGACCTCTTCAGTAAGTAGTCCAGTCTCCAGCTCTTAAGGGGTAGCACATGCTGCCTGATTAGTTTTTGGGGGGTGTGGTCCTTGGCCTCTCGGTGTCATGTTGATGTCCCAGAACAGAATGGTTCTTCTGAAAGTTTCATTCTAAGATAGGAAGAAGGTTTCTGGTTACACAGGACATGGTTTGTGGTAGGTTAGGTGTGAACAGTTTGTTGTCACTAACTAGCCCTGAGTAACAGGACTTACAGAGGCGGGATTTGGCGGAGGCCCACATGGTATTGCAACCTGTCGATAAATCTTGACAAGTTTGTAAAGCAAAGGCTTCTTGGCAGCTGTCTTCACACAGACATAATGCAGCCAGGATTTGCTCACCATAAAGTGCTGTTTGGGGAGGCTCTGCAGTTTGCTCCTGGACATCTGCCTTTCCCTAATGCAAGGCTGTCTCTCACCTTTGCCCTCCAGTGGCCTACAGAAATAACTGTTTGGAGGAAGGAAACTGTACTCTGTAAAGAAGGGTCTGAGTAAGAGTCAAGTGACCACGAGATCTGCAGGCAGATAAGAGAGCAGAGAAAGAGGAGCCTAGCATTCTCTCAGGTGACGCAGCTACCCAGAATAACAGGTCCTGTGCAGCTAGCTGTGGAGCCTCTCCCCAGTTCTGCTGCCTTCCACACAAGGCAGCCCAGCCACCCACTGCAGTCCTCTCGTCCAGGCCTGTGCTGACTCTTCAGGATTGGAAAAGAAGTCCCTTGTATCTTCTCCCCAAACCCACCTTCTTCTGGCTCTTCCCTGGGGATGTCCTGTTGTCAGAGGAAAGTGACCGTGTCCTAGCTTACAAACTGACGTGCTAGACTATGTCATAATCTGCATAGGCTACCTTAGCAAAACACAGACCTGGTGCTTTAAACAACAGATGTTTTTCTTCCAGTTCTGGAGGCTGGAATGCCAAGATCAGGTACCATCAGGAGTTTCCTGAGAGGGCTGTCTTCCTTGTTTATAGATGCCTACCGTCCCACTGTGCCATGGCTGTGTCTCTAAGAGAGAGTCCTCTCTCCCTCTTCTTGTAAGACCATACATAGTTCTAGTAGGGTAAGGCCTATCCTGACAGCCTCCCTTAACCATGTTTACCTCCTAAACACTGGTGTTATAGCTAAGAATATAAAGTTGGAAGAACAGAGCTCTTTAAGCCCAAGCTCTTCAAGAACGTGGATTTCTTGTCTTGTTCTGAAGCACCATGAATGTTTTAGACATCACTTAGGCTATCTACTAGATCTAATTAGTGAACTTAAAACTGTTGTTTCGTTGCTTAGATGAATCAGTGCGTGAAGGTACCTGACTCCGTGCCTGACAACCTGAATTTATCTTAGGACCCATATGGTGAAAGGAGAGGACCAACTCCCACACATTGTTCTTAGACCTGCACACGCCTGCTGTACTATGTGGAACACACACACTACACTAAATAAGTATTTAGTAAATAGAAAATGTTTTGTTTTAGGAGGTGTTAGAAAGATGGCTCAGTGGTTAAGAGCACTTGCTGTTCCTTTTTCCCCCTTTTTAATTGAAAAAAATTTATATATTCTGATCACACTTTTCCTCTCCCTCAACTCCTCCCAGATCCTCACCATGCCCTTTCTTTCTGTCTCTTAAAAAACAAAATAAGCCAGGCAGTAGTGGCACGTGCCTTTAATCCTAGCACTTGGGAAACAGAGGCAGGAGGATCTCTGTGAGTTCGAGGCCAGCCTGGTCTACAGAGTGAGTTCCAGGACAGGCACCAAAACTACACAGAGAAACCCTGTCTCGAAAAACCAAAAAACAAAAAAAAAAAAAAAAAAAAACAGGAAACATACACATACAAAAACCACATAAATGGAAACCAAAATATATAAACAAAAGGCCAGTAAAAACAAGATTATGCCCAAACAAAGCAATATGAGACAAAAATGTATAAAAATGCCATTGAGTTTGTTTTGTATTGGCCAACTACTCCAGGGCATGGGGCCCTACCCTGAAGTGTGATTAATATACCCAGTGAAACTTGGAGAAAATTAATTTTTCCTTTGCAAGCAGGTATCAATTGCAAATGGCTTTTTTTTTTTTTTTTTCTTGAGACAAGGTTTCTCTGTGGTTTTGGTACCTGTCCTGGATCACACTCTGTAGACCAGGCTGGCCTCGAATTCACAGAGATCCTCCTGGCTCTGCCTCCCAAGTGTTGGGATTAAAAGCATGCGCCACCACTGCCCAGCACAGATGGCTTCTTGATGTCCACTTTCCCCTCTTAGCACTGGGACCCCATCTGGCTTGAACCTGCACAGACCCTGTACATGCTACCACAGTCTCTGTGAGTTTCTGTGTGCATTAGTCCTGTGAGGTCTAGAGAACAATGTTTCCTTGGAGTCATCCACCACTTGTAGCTCTTATAGCCTTTCTGCCTCCTCTTCTGCATAGCTCTCTGAACCCTGAGGGGAGGGGTTTGATGAAGACATCCCATTTAGGATGGGGTGCTCCAAAGTCGCTCATTCTTTACACATTGTCCAGTTGTGGGTCTCTGTGTTAATTACTATCTACTGCAAGAAGTTTCTCTTGATGATGGCAGAGCAAAGCACTGATCTATGAATAGAGCAGAATGTCATTAGGAGTTATTTATTGCTATGTTCCTTTAACAGAACAATAGTGTTGGTTTTCCTGTAGGCCCATGACCTATCCAGTCTCAGGTTTTTAGCTACCCTAGAGTGTCAGGTTTGGATTACGTCTCATGGACTGGACTAAATGCAGTCAGAGAATGGTTGCACCAGCATGTCTTGATGGGTTCACTTGGCTGTCAACACACTATGTACAATGTGTAACTCCAGTTCTAGAAGATCAAACACCCTTGTTTGGCTTCCACAGGCACCAAGCATGCATGTGGTGCATATACATACATGCAAGCACTCACACATGCATATAAAATAAAAATAAATAAATCTTTAAAAACAAACCCTCTTCCTTCCCATTTCCTGTCCCCGTACTTCACAGCAATCACCAACACACTACTCTCAACCATAGTATCTGCTGCAAGGCAATACTTTATCTTTATTTTTTGCTGTTTGCTTTGTGAGACAGAGTTTCACATAGCCCAGGCTAACCTTCAATTCTTGATCCTTCTGCCTCTACCTCCCAAGTTGCTACCTAGCACTATATGTATTTGCCATTCTGCCTAGATAGGGAGAGATCTTCAAAAGCAAGATAGTCTTGTGTTTGTGGTGCTAGAGATTTAACTTAGGGCCTTATGCATGCTAGATAGACACTTTGTCATTACTGAATCCCCAGCAGCAGTCCTGTTTAGGGATCTACATTGTTATCTAAGACTGTAGCTTGTGGTGGCAAGTCAGTGAAGAGAGATGAGGTGACCACTGCTTCCCTGCAGCAGGAGGGAAAGCTGCCTGATGAAGTTGGCAGCCCAGGGAGCTCAGCAGGCAGAACACTGTAGAAGGTCTTCCTGAACTAAGCTTGCCTGTCTTGCTAACCTTGCCAAGGAGGCTCTAGGTCCAGAAAAGACCCATGGTACCTTAGCAATAGGAAAGGACTCAAGGCCTGGGTATCTGCTTTTAAAGACTGAGTGGTCCCTTCTGGCAGCTGTCCATGGCACATGTCTCTCCAGTAAGTCTTGATCTAGCCTCTAGCCTCTTATTCACCGTTGCGTGTCTGAAGAATACTTGGAACCTGCTGCATATCTGGTATTGGTGTTTTTTTATTGCCTCCTGGCTCTAAGGAGAAGCCTATTAAAGGCATTCGAGATATTCAAAATATCTGAGATGCTCTTAGGGTTTCTATTTCTGTGAAGAGACACCTTGAGTATAACAACTCTTATAAAGAAAAACTTTTAATGGGGTGGCTTACAGTTTCAGAGGTTTAGTCCATTATCATCGGTGTACAGGCAGACTTGGTGCTGGAGAGGGAGCTGAGATTCCTACATCTTGACCGGCAGTCAACAGGAAGTGAACTGAAACACTGGGTATGGCTTGAGCATATATAAGACCTCAAAACCCACCTCCATGGTGACACACTTCCTCCAACAAGGCCATACCTACTCCAACAAAGCCACACTTCCTAATAGTGCCATTCCCTGTGAGCTTGTGGGGGTCAATTACATTCAGACTACCACATGCTCCAATGTTGAGCACCCTAATGAGGGAGCATTTCTAGACCTGGTCTCCCTTCCCAGCAGAGGGGCAGGATGGACCACCCTGCCATGGCCCCCAGGACTTCTCAAGAGTTCTTAACCACCTCTCTAACACCTCTTACCTTCTGTTCTCACCTTTCCCGATGGATCTTCAGGGCCTTAAACTCTGGTGTTGAGTACTACTGGGACCAGCTAAATGAGACGGTCTTCACTGTCCACTCAAACAGCAGGAGCAGCGAGCGACCTGGGTAAGTGAAAGTCAGAAGACTCCTGTGTTTGAGGGTCTCTGGGTCTTTCCTCAACCAGAACAGCTTTTCACTGATCTGTTACTTGTCTTAGACTTTTTCATACAGTCTAAAGAAGACAGGCTAAAGAGATTGCTCAGTGGTTAAGAGTGCATACTGCTCTTAGGGAAGACCTGAGTTGGGGTCCCAGCACCTATGTCAGGCAACTCACAACCACCTACGACTCCAACTCTAAGGGGTCTGATGCCCCTGGTCTCTGTGGGCACTCACATCTGCACTCACATGCCCACACCCATACACAGATATACCCATCACATAATTGCAAAAGAAGACAAAGCTCTTGCTCTTGGAGGCTCGTCGTAGAACACATGCCTTTTCTCATTCTGGCCATGGTGTCTGAGCACACTTGGAGTGAGAATAAAGAAAAATCCAGAGAAAAATGTTACCCCATGAGCTCTTCTCTGTTGCCCATAGAGAACTGTGGAGTGGGGTTATCTTCAGATGACTAGGGCCACACAAATCAATGACTGTAGCCCAGGGGGCACTGAGAATAGGAATCTGGCCCTGATCTTTTTCACTGAATCCACTAATGAGACGTGGAACATTGTAAAAACAAAATAAATACTGGTTCAACGGGAAACCTAAGGCAGGTCCTGCTTCCTATAGGACTCACAGGGCACAGCTGGAGCAGTAATCCCAGAAGCAGCTAAAAGTGAATAATTGGTGAGTCTCAGATTGGGGGCTCAGCTCTGCTGCCTGTCCTAGCTATCTCAAAAGTCTGTGTCAAGGGAACACCCAAGGAAAGGAGGGCGCTAACCTTGGGGCTGGGCCTTACTTGTGAGGAACTGTGCTCCCAACCTACAAGGCTCTTTTTTTAAAGCTGCTGTAAGAAGGTACTTGTGTCTTGGCTCTCCCTTTTTAGGCTGTGGGCCTGGAATTGGTATGGTATCCAAGACTTCTGTGAAGGACCTGTCCCAAGCCCGTTCTGACTTCAGTCGGTCTTTTTTGCCTCAGAACCAGTAGAGCCACATGGCGGACAGACAGAGACATGGGCTTGATGAATGCAATCGGGCTGCAACCTCGGAACCCTACCACCTCTGTGACATCTCAGGGCACCCAGACTCTAGCCCTCCAGTTGCAGAATGCTGAAACACAGACTGAGAGGGAGGAAGAGGAGCCAGGGACAGCATCCTCAGGTCCTGGTGAAGGTAGGAGCCTTGAACTACTAGCAGAGGACATCGGACCAGTAATCTGCTTTCTCGGGGCGAGTTAGACCTGTGCTTCTGGAGGACCAAAGAGCGTGCATGGAAAGTGAGGTTCTATAGGAAGTGCCCCTTCTAGAGCTGAGCCGGGTACCTGGGCCTCTAGTTTATCTCCCGTCAGCTAGCATGGCATATCAGGACTGCTGCAAGTGAGGTTCTTGGTGCTCCTCTTGTACAGTGTTTTGATGCTGTAGTGACTACAGCTGGACATACCAGCAGTCCTTCCTCTCACCTACTTCAGGTATGATACTGCCTGCCTCAGCCCTGGCTCTCTGCTGGCCTCACACTTTAAAGAACCAATTAGCACTTCCCAGTGGTAGGGCTCAAGCCACTTTGGAACCCATCAGCAGCTGCGTTAAGCAGGCTGCTCTCACTCTCCTTACCTCCTACCTCCAGCCCCCATGCTGCTCTTAGCTCCAAACAAGGCAGCATCTAAACAGACTTTTTCTAGATCTGGTTGAGCCATTTGCTTGAAAGATCATGGAAGGAGAAGCCCTGATGTGCATCAGGCTGAGAGTAACAAATTTGCTTAGGTTGCCTCCAGGAAATGGCTTTTCTGACTGCAGCTCTCCATGGGGCACTTTCTCCCTGCCATGAACTGAATGTTGAGAGTTGAATCCCTTTTTGGGCTGCAGCCTAGCCCATCTCCCACATCTGAGGCCCAAGGCTCTTTGTGGAGTTGAAACCCCTTGCTGGGGACATGAGCAGCTGGCAGTGTTAGCCGAGGCGGCTGGCCAGCTGCAGCTTTGAGTCTCGGAGAAGACAACAGATGAAGTCTCATTCAGCCATATCCAGGCCCATTTTTGTAGGCGTTTGTGGACTCTAAGCCACCCTGGAGTCTATGAAGCTCATTCCAAGAAGTCTCGGTCCTAAGTGCTCAGGGAACCACTGCTTCTCCAGCAGAGCTAGAAAGTACTTCTCTCAACAAGGGCAGTAGCCTCTAAGATGACCGGATGAGTCTAGTATCATGGATGTTTACCCACAAGGAAAAGATTCTAAGAATGAGCCTTCATCCTTCCCCTCAGAGCTTGGAGTTCAGTGAAGTTAAACAGCTCACAACTAAGCAGCTGACAACTTTGGCGTGATAGGGACCTTGGGAGGGCCACGGGAGGGCTAGGAAGCCTTCCAGAGGAGGTGATCCTAAGCTGAGTCCTCAGGCCTAGTTGTCATTAGACAGAAAGGGCTGGCAGCAGCATTTCGACATGTGTAACAGCACTGGGTTAAAGAAAAACTATGACATGTGAACAGAGGCCCACTAGCAAGTGTGTGTTTAAGGAAAGCCTGGCACGTGTTAAGAACTGAGGCTGGCTGCATGGACAAGGTTGCTTATAGGATTCCCAGGTGGAGGAAAGCCTCTGTCCCAAAGGTGAAGTATAGCGGTGGTTCTTGAACAGGATCTGCTGCCGAGATGTGTGCCCTCTGGTGTCTCACCTCCCAAAGAATCCTGTCTTTGCTGCTTCTGGGCTGCAGCTTCTTCTTGTTTGGGGGCTGGGGACCTAGAGAGGGCAGGAGGGTAGAAGCTGTCCTTTTCAGACTCTAGGACTAGAACCTCATTTCTTTCCCCTTCCCACCCCTGGCTTCCTTCAGTCAAAGCAGGTGATGGTGGAGATGCTGGTTAAGAAGCCTAGCAGGCAGCAGTGGCGGAGGTCCTGGCAGAGTGCTGAGGGACAGCTCGATGCTTCTGTCCATGGAAACTTCTCTCAGAGCTCTGGACCTTCCCTCCCCCGCTTTCCCATGCGTAGTGTTCCCTTTCAAAACTAGACAAAAATGGAAAGTATGGGTTGTAGGAGTGGGTGAGGGATTGGTCACTAAGTGTCTCTTCTGGAGCCTTTACCCTAGTGCTTATCCCATGGCTCTGATGCCAGATACCTTGCTGGAAAAAATAGTTGTCAGTGTTCTCCTTGCCCACACTTTCTCATCTAGGGGTAGGCACAACAAGGTGGCTCCTGACTCCTTGTGTTGACTGAACTGGTAGCCAGGTCTTCAGGAGCATGCATCAGAGAAGCCTAGCTGAGGTTAGCCCTTCTGGGCTTGGCTGTACCCCTCCCCAACCCCCATCACCACCACCAGGACCTGAATTTGTTAGTTTGAAAACCAGGTCTGGTTATAGTAATCATTGTCCTGTAACCCACCCTTCCTTAGTATAAGCCCAACAGCACCAGTCTGCTTCTCATTTTCTTTTTCTAAAAATCTGAGACTGGTAGTGTAGCTCAGTGGTAGAGCACATGTGTGAAGCCCTTGTTCAGTTGCCTGCACTCCCACCTCCAAATGACTAACTAACATTCATTCAGCTAGTTCTAAGACTTTTTGATCAGCTCTCTACAAGGAGGATTGTTGTATTTTGTTTTTTACTCTTTTTGGTGGGGCCCCACCACACAGCTCCCAAATAAATTCACACATGGAGGCTTATTCTTAAGTATGAATGCCCAACCTTAGCTTGACTTAATTTCTAGTAGCTTTTCTTAACTATGCTGACTACCTTTTGCCTCTGGCTTTTCCCGTTCTCCTACTTCCATAAATCTTGCTCCATGGCTTGCTGTGTAGATGCGTAGCTGGCCCCTGGAGTCCTCCTCCTTCTCTGGCTACTTCTTTTTTTTCCTCCCAGATTTCTCCTTCTATATATCCTCTCTGCCTGCCAGCCACGCCTGTCTCTCTCCTGCCTTGCTATTGGCCGTTCAGCTCTTTATTAGACCGTCTGACGTTTTATACAGGCACAGTATCACAGTTTCACAGAGTCAAGTAAATACAGCATAAACAAAAGTAACACACCTGAAAATACTCTACTACAGGGGATTTGTTCTCTTTGCTTTTATGCTTTGGGGCTTTAATCAAGAAGTGGGAGCTGCTCCAGGTCTTGAGTGTGACTGCCACAAGCTGCTCTCCTCTGTCCAAGAGGCAGCTCAGAAAAGGGGAGGAGCTCACGGATGCTCCCAGCACTGGTACAGTGAGTGTGTCGCATGCAGTCAGCCTTTAAGAAGTATACAGAACAAATGGATGGAGCCAAGGGAGGCCCTGCCTCCCTACTTCAGGGAGAACTCTGCCCCTTTGCCTCTCAGCCTTGGGCCTCTTTCTGATATGATGAAGACAGAAGTTAGAACAGTAGCCACAGTTCAGGCCTCAGGCCTAGGAAAAACAGGTGCCATTATAGAAGAGCTGGACGCGCGCGCGCTCACACACACACACACACACACACACACACACACACACACACACACACACACAAAATGACAGGGGGTACACAGGAGGTCCTAGGTTGGTCTCCCCTCTTGCCCTGCCCTACTGTTTGAAGGTGTGGCCCTTGGGACTCAGCCCTCAGGTTTTCTATTCTGTGTACAAAGCTGAAGCTTACCTGTGTAGGGCAGAGTAGGTGAGGGCAGCGGTCATGGGGGTTAAGTGCAGAAACATTTCTCCTCTCTTCTGGAGAATAAAGCCCCCCAAAGTAAATGCAGCTGAAGGGCATTGTGGGAAATGGCTGATCCCACCTGTCTTCTGCATTCAGAATGTACCTTAGAACTTGCCAAGGAAACAGTCTGCCCACAGCACTAAACCAGCTCCTATTTTTCAGACTCTAAAAGAAACACTTTAGCTACAGGGGAGGAGGCAGCAGAGTTGCCCACTGTGGTCACTATTGTCCTGCTCCATATCCTTTGGGCTTCAGTAGTGCTTTCCTTTTGGGGATATGCAGCTGCCTCCAGTCGTTCCCAGCCTTAGCTCACCCTTCTAGGAGAGGAACACAGCTCAGAGGTCTCGGCTAAGTCTGTTCACACTCAGCCCCAGAAGCCAGTTGGACGCACATCTCCCGTCCATTATTTTTCAGCGTGCTCTGTGTCTCACATTGTATGAGGCACTGTGAACCCAAAGGTTTTAGAAAGAGAATCACATAATGAAGCCACTGTGTCTCATCCCTCAAAGGGCTAGTCCATAAGGGAAACAGACATAGAAAGATTTCTCTTGAAGCAGAATAAGAACCAATTTTCCAAAGGGGCCTTGAGTCTGAAGCCCCTGTATGCAGCATAGGAGCCCATTTTTAGTCATCCATATGTGTAAATAAGCATTTCATTCTAGACCATGTGTTACACTGACCAGAGATGAAGAAGACCTCCAGGAAGGCCCAGCAGTGAGAGATGTTGCAGCCACTAGTGACTGAGCCAGAGAGAGGTATATGGCACTACTGGAGCTCCAGGTGCTATAACCTCTACTCTTGAGCGAAAGATGTGGCATTTATAGTGGCCTCTGAACTTGAGTTGACTTGAGACCGAAGGGATAGGTGAGAGCCTGTGTAAAGTGTCTCTCGGTGCACAGGCAGGGAGCAGAGCTGGGTCAGCTTTAGTGAAGCCTGTTGTGTGCAGTGGATGGGTCAAGGGGTCTGGCCAAGAAAACCATCAGGGCCTAGTCAGAAGGCCCTCCACTGTCAAAGGGACTTTGAAAGCTCTGGAGCTGCTGAACTTTGAGCAAGATGTGGACTTAACCAGAGTTTACTTAACTAAGAGTTAGAGCAGTAACAGCAACAACATGGAGATAGGCTGGGAAGAGAGGAGAGAATAAGTTAAGAAATAGCCAAATCAGAGGTGTGGGGTGGAGAGGTGCAGAGCTGTAGATAGATAGGCAGCTGAAAAAGACCGTCTCAGACTTGAGTGCAGGCCACAGGGCACTCTGGGGCTGAGCTCTATTGGCTCCAAGATGGCTTTTCCTTCTCTGGGAAACAACCACTGGGATGTTCTGAGAGTTGAGCAGACACAGTTGACATGATGGATTCAATGCCCACAGGACCCAGGTAAGCCCACTGCAGATCCTCAAGGAGCAGGAGACATCCCAAGAGAGTTCTTGGGAACGAGTGGAGATTGCCTAGAACATAGGAAAGTCCCCGAGGGCAGGCAGTTCATAGGATAGAGGCTTCAGTGGTACTGAGTGGTAGGTACTGAGTGGTACCAAGTGGTACTGAGGTCCTAGGTTGGTCTCCCCTCTTGCCCTGCCCTACTGTTTGAAGGTGTGGCCCTTGGGACTCAGCCCTCAGGTTTTCTGTCTTCTGTGTACAAAGCTGAAGCTTAACTGTGTAGGGCAGAGAAGGTGAGGGCAGCAGTCATGGGGGTTAAGTGCAGGGTTTCCCAGGGACCTCAGGAAAAGTCAGCTGTCTAAAAGCTGAATCCTGGGTAGAATTCTCACTAGTTAGTACTGAGAAAAATGGATCAAGATCTAAGGAAGAATATGAGCAAGTACCTGCCGGTCCCATGCAAGAGCTCGAGACACAGCTAAGTCATAAAAGTGACTGGCCTGGAAGTCTGACTCAGACAAGCAGGCAGAGAAAAGACTCAGGGATCGAAGGAAGCCTTGGGAAAAAAAACAGCTATTGACAGGTAACCTTGAAATAAATAACTCATCCATGAGTATACCAAAACTAAAGAATCCCAAACTGGGCAGGAGCTAGCCAAAGGAGACAGATCAGCGTTCACCGGAGCTGTACCTGGCAGCTGGGACCCTTGACAGGAGCTGCTCGGCTTGGGGAAGAGTCGAGAAGAGTCGGGAAGACTTGGGATAGAACCGCTGCTGCCCTGCTATATGGGCTCTTATTTCCTCCTCAACACTATGCAAATGCTAAGAGTCTTGGCCAAGTCCAGCCAGCCACTAATGAGTGGCACAACTGTGATTTGAGCCCAGATCTTGACTGTTCTTGCAGGGAATGCCCATGTCTCATGGGGGAACAGACCCATGCTCCCTCTGCTTAGAGCTGCAGGTTGGAGTCACGGGCCCAGCTGGCAGCTGGTTCTTGTCTATGGTATCAGGCATGTATCCCAGAGAGAGAGTGACTAGGAGAGGTAGCAGTGACTGTGGGTAAAGGGAGATGACAAGAGATAGGACTTCCAGGGAGCAGTTAAACAGGCTTTTAGAAAATAACACAAACAACAAAGCTGAAGGAAGATAGTGTTGAAACAGAGCATGGCAGACTCTCTGCCTTTGGACCACACCCTGCAGGGTACATGCTTCTTCCCAAAGACCAAGCGACATATCCCATTCCAGGACCAGGTCTGAAAGTCATTCCAGATGAGGAGAGAATAGACGAGCAAGCTTTCAGTCCTCTCTGCCTCTTTTCAAAGCACCCTGCACTCTAAATGGAGCTGCAAGACTTAATTAAAGCCAAGCACTTGCCTTGGGCCAGCCTTGGGCTCTGCCTTGGCCACTTCCTCCCCAGTAAAGCAGGGGAGGAACTGTAGTACTTGGGACCCTTGTCCTGCTGTCAGGACTCCAATTTCCAGTGGTGACGTTGGCCTCTTACTCCTGTTTTTCACCTAGAATCCCCCAGCATCTCCTAGCTCCTGCTGCCTGGCTCAGAGGCTCAGACCAGCAACTAACACACACCTTCTTTCCTCTGCTTTGTACCTTCCAGGCGAGGGCTCAGAATATGGCGGCAGTGGGGAAGACGCCCTCAGCCGGATCCAGAGGTTAATGGCCGAGGGTGGCATGACAGCTGTGGTACAGCGAGAACAGAGCACCACCATGGCCTCCATGGGTGGCTTCGGCAACAACATCATCGTCAGTCACCGCATTCATCGCAGCTCCCAGACAGGCACAGAGTCAGGCGCTGCTCGTACCTCCTCACCCCAGCCCTCCACCTCTCGGGGACTGCTCTCAGAACCTGGACAACTGGCAGAGCGAGGCCTAAGCCCCCGGACAGCTTCCTGGGACCAGCCTAGTACCTCTGGGAGGGAACCACCTCAGTCAGCTCTACTGTCTTCCTCCCCTGTCCCCATTCCAGTCCCCCTTGCCAGCAATGAGGGACCAACCATGCACTGCAATGTGACCAATAATAGTCACCTTCCTGAGGATGATGGCAGCAGCAGGGGGGAAGCTGCAGGCCCTAGTGGGGAGCCACGGAACCGGTAGAGTCCAAAACAGGCACTGGCGCCTCCCCTCAAGCCGCTGAACAGAAGCTGGGCCTCACAGCTGGCTGGGAACTGTACACACAGAAGGGCTGATGTCTGTATCTGGGAACAGGAGGAATGAGGGGGTGGGGCATGGAGCCAGTGGGTTAGGGGCAGTCCAAGGGGCAAGACTGGCCTGGGGGACTAGAGCCCTCCAGGATCTGGAGCCCAGAAGAGCCACACTGCTGGACCTGATGTGAATGAAGAAGCAAGTGGGTGTCTCTGCCACATACTCCCCTTTCTCCTAGGGTCACTGGCCTAGGGGACTCAGCCCTGGGCAGGTGCCCCAAAAGAGTGAAGTCTTCCAGATCTAGACCGCACCATCCTGGACAAAACAGTGGGGCAGTTCTTCCCTGCCCACTACCTGGGGGGCAGAGCCACCAGAAGCAGAGGAGCAGCCTACCCCCTACCCCCAGTTGCCCCCAACTCATAAACCTAGAGTTCCAGCCTCTCCTTATCCCCTCATCCCACAAAGACATAAAAGTTGGGCCCAGCTTCCATTAGGGGACTTCCTGTATTCACAAGTGGGGACACCTGTGAAGTGAAGGGAGCAGCCTGCTGGCCTGACACAGTATGGAGTCAATGCACAGTGGTGGACAGGTCCTGGGGGGGGGTGTAGGCTGGCCCGCCCCCAGCTTGTCCATGAAGCCCCCCCCCCCCGCCCCGCCCCACCCCAAGGCCCTCCATGCAGCACCTATAGGTGTCAGTATTACCTAAGCCTAGGCTAAAGCCAGCCCAAGGCTGAAGGGAGAGATTCCAGGTCAGAATGTGAGGTCTTGGTCTATGATTTGAGGTGTTGCATGTGGAATCCTGAACTGTACGTGTAGTTCTTAGTGGAAATCGAGGCTCTGATCGTTTTGTTTTTAGTATGCAAATGTGATTTCCTTTCTGTTTGTCACTCATCATAGAAGCATTGTGGTGGGAGGAGAGGGGATAGTCTACTGCTAATGAGGGAGACACCAAAGATCTACATCATTAAAATGATGACATGCCCCTCGCCAGGCTCCTGCTTGTTTCCGTGGAGAGGGAGGAGGGAGAAGGGTTTGGGACTTGGGTGTGGAAGGCATCAAACTGGGCAGCCTGGCTTCTCTAGGCATTTCAGTGGACCTAGTAGTGGAAACCTCCCCAACCCGTTAGCCCAAGTCAGCTGCTTGAGGGTTGCTTCCTAGGACCTGGTGCAGACGGGCAGCCTCTTAGTGGCAGCTGGCTACTAAGAATGATAGAGGAAGTCATCCGGATTGCTACCTATCCAAGGACTATGGGCCTGAGTGATGATTACACTCTCCAGTCCTGGAGACCACTCCAGCAGGTTCTGAGCAGCTGGGAGGAGACCGCAGGCTTGTCTGCAAGTGTCCTTGAAGGTGCCGTGGTTGGCTGGAAGGCCTGCCCTGTCCGTGTCGTTGCTGCTTCCCATGTTAAGCCAGTTTAGAAAGTAGGAGAGGCCTTCAAGTATACCTCTTTAATAGAAAGGCTGAGTGACTCTGGGTCACTTGCCAGCCTGGACTACCACAGGTAGGATACTGAAGATCATCTGGAAGGAGGTGGAGGTGGAGACGGTGACAATTACCAGCTCTGTCACAACAGAGATGAAACCAAAATGGGCAAGCAAGTAATGCAAAACTGTGAAGTTACAGAGCAGCACACATTCTCTCTCTCTCTCTCTCTCTCTCTCTCTCTCTCTCTCTCTCTCTCTCTCTCTCTCTCCATCTCTGTCTCTCTCTCTCTCTCAACTTGACTTTTCTATCTGAGGGAGTAAAAATTCTCTGGGGCCAGCTAGTTGGGCAAAACTTAACTCGGGCTGGCAAAGAAGGGAAACACACACACACACACACACACACACACACACATCCTTAGGCGCTATCATCTCTCATCTCTTTATTTCTTTTCTTACTGCTATCCAGATGTATCCCTTCTGTCTATTCTTAATTTTTCCCTTACAGCTTATATACCCCAGCAAAACCTTTGAAGCAGTATAAAAATTACAATGTGGTTTTACATTCTATATTTTAAGTGAATACAATTAAAAATAACATGTTTTCCATATCCCTTACATGATTAAACATTTTATGCATTATAGATAAAAAATTATCTCCAAGAACCTGTGTACATTCATGTCCAAGCAACTTGTTATGGATTAACAGAGTGTAAGCAAGCAAGGTATTTTCTCAGCCAGTTCTTTTACTTGCAGGCTGCGTTTTTTTCAGTTACAAAGAAAGGATCAGTCACTTTATTATTTATCTCAAAAGGTAATCTTATGAAAAATCTTAAAAGAATCACAAATGTAAACTTTTATACATGAAAACCAGCCAGCGCCACTTTAAATCCTTAGGGTGCATACCCACTCGTCAACAGTTTTTTATGAAACCCTATCAGGAAGCTGAGGGCAGAAATGGGTACAAGGAATTGACCATCACCTTTGATCACCAGCCCATCCTAAAGAGAAAGGTACCTCAGCCAATAATAGCCAGGGTGCCATTGTTTTGTTCTGTGACCTCAATGAGTCTCTCACTCACCTATTGAAAGTGTACTTTTCTAAACTTTAAATTGTTCCCAAAGATTTTCTACCACAAAGTCATTAAAAAAAATCTTAACCTGACCTATCTAACAGTTCTATATGTCTAAATTCTTTCTAAGGATGGTGGTTGAATCATTAATCTCCATCAGCAATGCTTGTAAAAAAAAAAAAAAAAAAAACCACTATTATTTTAAGTACGGGTGACACTGCCCAGTGAGGGGCTAGGAACCCCCTGAGAATTTTCATACAACTCATAGATTATGAGGGATGTGGTGACCATAGAGGCCACAATCAGAGCAATGCTCAATAACAGTATGAGGTCCTCAGGACACATAATCCTTGGGGCTTTGCCTCTCCAAGGCTCACTCAGGCATGGCTTTGCCAACTGCCCCGCCGTGTTCCATGAGTTCCAATGCTTCCTGTTGGTCCCCTCGAATGGCCCTCAACATACTACTACTACAGAGAGAAGTATGCCTTGGTTTGACAGTAGAGACTGAATTTGAGTGTAAGCAATGTGCTAAGTGTGCACAATCTACCCCTCCAAAAACCCCCTCAGGTGGTTACTTGAGTTACCTTAGACCACTTGACTAACAGAACCAAGGTATACACATCAGCCACTGTCATCAACACAAGTCAAGGCATAGGAGAACTGAATGGGATCTGGACATGCCCTCTAGGTGGTTGGAGTAAAGGATATGAAGAAGGCTTGTGATAAAGCAGTCCAAATTATCAGCCAGGCGGTGGTGGCACACTCCTTAAATCCCAGCCCTCGGGTGGCAGAGGCAGGCAGCTCTGTGAATTTGAGGTCAGCCTGGTCTACAGAGTGAGTTCCAGGACAGCGAGGGCTGTTACACAGAAAAGCCCTGTCTCAAATAATCCCCCCCCCAAGTCCAAATATCAAATATGAGTATGGCTTATCCACCTCTACTGACTGGCCAAGGATTGACGGGTCACACCTGCTTGTCTGCATATCAGTTCCTTTCCTTAGAAAGTGTACACCCGGAGAGAGCCTCCTCAGTGGTAAGCCTTTAACAGGTCCCCTTACACATCACAAATGTGTAAGGCAGCCCCTTAAGAGATAAGGAAAGTGTTCAGAGGCAGTTAGGCCAAAGAGAGCAGAGAGACTAAACTGGGTCCCTCCTTCCGGTTCAGCTTTCCAGGGTTTATCTGTGAGTACTGAGATGTGGGCTTCACAGGCTGGATTAGCAAGTGACTGCCTGACAGTGGTTGGAGGCATTTCTGGTTTCTGGAACCTCCTGTCCTTAACAAGCCCGGCTTGTTTCTTCATGGGCCCCAGGGAGGGGGATATGGTGAAGTGGAAGAAGTCGATGTCATATGAATCAATTGAGCCTCTCCTCTGTGACATGGGGCAAGAACAACACTTTTTTCATCTTTTTAATGAGGACCATGGGAGGCCAAAGCACCCATAGGAAGAAAGATAGCTTCTCAGACCAGCCCACCCAGACAACTCTAGCCCTCAACTCTGACCAGAGCTCACTTCCACCTCCCCTTCAGCATGGAGAAGCCTGAACCAGTAGCCCCCTCTCACCGACTCTAGCTCAACTCCCCACCCTTCTCTGTTGAAAAAAAAAAAAATCCTAACTCCTCTTTCTCCAAAGCTATTCCAGCCACCGCCACTCCCCCCAGGAGTCCCTACCGATCCTTGTGGGAGGGTAAAGGTGGTTTTTTCCAAGAAAAGGAGTCAGCTGACTTAAGGTTAATCAGCTGTTGACACTCAAGAAGCTTTGTGGGTGACGGACCGGGACGCGGGAGAGGTGCGTCCAACCCTGGCTGGCCTAAGAACAAGCGCTAGTGCGGGAACTGAGCAACTCTGCTCTCCGGCCAAGGCCTCAGCAGAGCTGTCCGAGGTGCTGAATCTGCCTACTTTGAGCCTTAGCCTAATACTGCGGCAGGAGTCTGGGAGACTCGGATCGCCCTGGGGGTCTGTTCTGTCCCAGGTGACCTTGGGCACCTGGCTTCCCCTCGTAGGCAACGATGAATTCATTCCTCGTGTTGCGGCTGGATAGGAGGCTCGTGCCATCTTCGGTCTCACGGCTGGTGCGCGTTCCTTTCCGGGCCTGGAGAGAGACAAGGTCTTCTGCCAGCGTAGACGCTCGCCGGTCCTCTTATTCTCTTCCCCAGGCCTCGACGGCTCCAATCTTTTGCTTGTCCGGCGGCCAACAGGCAGGACAGGGCCCTCTGCCCCTACAGAACCATGTTGGCCGAATCAGCCCCGCCACACACCACCTCCTGTTGGGGCCAGACCCTCAAGACCGCGGTTAAACCGCAAGCGGAACAACGAAGGGCTGAAGCCGTGGAGAGGCGCGAAAACACTTCGGGGTCCAGAGTGTGCGGTTAGGGCGGAGGCGGGGCGCGTAGCCAGACTTGGCCGCCTTGTTCCTCCCCAGCCCGCGAGGGGGCGCCTTGTCCCCATGACAACGCGGACAGCCCCCCCCCCAGGGCAGCGCCCGAGGCTAATCCGCCTTGGAGACTGTGGGCGGTGCCCTCGGTGCTGGAGCCCCGAGTCGCTAGCCAATTCCCGGGAGGGGCGCAAGCATCAAGGGTGTCCAACACTCCAGGTGGTGACCCCCGCGCGTCGCCGCTGGGTGACCGGCTCCGAGCGGGCGGTGCGTCCCCACCACGATTGGCTGCTTCCCTGTGACATCACGCGGCTCGGGGAAAAGTGCGAGCGTGAGCGCGAGTCGGAGCCACAGCGCCCGGAGCTGCAGGCGAAGCAGGGGCCGCCCCTGGCACCCCGTCCCCGCCCCCGGCCCCCGGCCCAGTCGCCCACCCCGCCAACTCGCGAGGCCTCTGGCTTGTCCAGCCGTCTGTCGGCGCCAGCGGAGCAAGACAGAAGCAACGGGTGAGTAACTCCGCGGAGGCGCGGGGGCGGGGGGCTCCTATGCAAGACGAGGATTTGAGGCCCCGGGACCCTCTGGGGGTCTCCAGAGGTGGGTCCCAGACCCCTTTAAGGGGCAAGCGCGGTGCGGAAGGGGCGGAGAGCTCAGGGGTGGGGGACCCCTCTGGAAGAAGGGCCTCGGGTCTTTGAAAGGTTTCTCCAGGTGCGCCTCCAGAGACTGGTGATCACCCAGAAGGCTAGGGGCAGAAGAGTTGCAGCCCACAGCCCCAGCCCCAAAGCTGGGCAGCCGTCGGGTCAGGACCCACACTCCCTCACTCCCTCCCGGTTGGCTGCTCCATAGGGCGCCGCAAGATGAATCCCCAAAGCGCCCTTTTCCCGCCCGTCTCTCTGCCCTCCCTTCCCACCTTGGCCCACCCGGATCTACCAGCACGCTCTAGCCCGTGGAGTCCTCTGGCCGCGACCTTGAGCCCCGACGGAAAACACCCCTGTTCTCTCCTGGCACCCTTCCCCCTCTCCAGGACTAACCCCTGCTTTTACCCATCCGGGGAAATACAGTCTCCGTGTCCCCCACCCTCCCAGCTCTCAGAGGGAGTGTTGGGCACAATGACTTGGCCCAATATCCTGCGCCCCTCTCCCTTCCCCTTAAGTACATAAGGCTTCTCCTCGCCCCGGGGACAGATCTGAGGCCATAGCTTTCCTAAAGTGATGGCTTAATAATGGAAAACCTACCCCCACGAGCCACCCCGCGGGCGCCCAGAGCACCCCTTCCCGTCTTGTCCCCAGCAGGGGAAGGGGCTCGAGGACCCGCGGAAGCACATGCCCACGCCCAGAGACTACAGGAACTGCGTGCCTGGGGTTGATGGGAGGGCGGGGCATCGGAGAGCCTTGGCCCTTGCGACCTGGACCCAGACTTGGAGGAGACGCGAGATGGGCCAAGGGTAAGCCCTGAGGTGGCCCTCTAGGTATACCTGAGCCCAGGGCCTGGGAACTCGATGCCTGTTTTGACTGATGGGACTAGACAGGGCCTCTCCAGCGGGTTCAGGTTGAAGAGTGAAGGAGAACAATCGCACACTCGACCCAAGCCTCGACTGGGCTCCCCATTTGGAGGGTCTGCCGCTGCCTTCAATGCATAGGGTTCTCGGAACCGAGCCCGGTGACCCTCACGGCTCGACTGGGCGACTATAGCAGAGGCTTCTTGACAAAAGTCCAACCGGGGGGACTGCGCGTTCTCCATTCTTGAGAATGCAGAAAGGACCAGGTGCCCGGGCCGCTAAGATAATGGTTCCAAAGTAAGGATTTCCTCGCAACCAGAATTTTGGTCTTTTCTCAGCCCTTTCCCCACCCACAGGCCGGGCACTTCCCGGCGGTTCCCGCCATGGGGCATTGGATGTGACTGGTCACTCGCTGATGGTCCGGCACACAAGTTTGCAGGTACACCGACCCAAGCCGTGGGCTCGAGCCAGACCATAGCACCTCAGGCACGCACACACATGCTCACGCACGTGTCCACATGGCGCTGGCATGCTCACGCGCCCAAAGGCGCACCGGTATCCAGGCGTGGCGGTGCACACACACACTGGCACATGCAGGAAGGAAGCTACTAGTGTCTACTCGCGCTTTCGGGTAGTCACACACAAACAACTTGCACTCGCATTCCCACCTACACATTCTTTGATGGGTGCCTTGGGAGGTGCTAGTGGAATCCCGACGCCCCAAAGTTTCTCATCCTTGAGCCCCTGGCCGAACCTAGGGAACCTTTGTGCCAGCTTAAGGCAACAGAGTCTGTCGGCGTCCCCCTCCCTTTGGTCCCAGGGTAGGAGAAGCCTGCCCTGAGGCTTTTCTGTATTCGCGATTTGCACTGGGACTTGGGGACGTGGTGAACCGCGGCCACTGGCTCAGGGTCCGGAGCTGGCACCCGGGGACCGACATTGCCATCTAGCGGTGCGCACAGGTCAGGGCGACGGCTGCTTGCCTTCCCAGATGCTAGTTGGGCCAGATTCCGGGAAAATTGTGTCCGCGGGTGTTGCCGTGTGAACGTCTGAGAGAGAATCAGAGAAGTCCGGAAAGAAAACTGGGACCGAGTTGAGAAAACTGAGTTGTACCCAGTCTGCATCTGGCAGGGTCCCGGGAAGACCAAGCCACCCACCATTCATCTGGTCCCTTACTTGTCAAGGCTGTTTCTGGTCCCAGGAGGACAAAAGGTCAAACCTAAGTGAGGGAGCTGGATGGAATGTGAGGGTTCCGTGTCTAAGATGCATCTGGTGGGCATCTCTCTGGTGTGCTTTGGGAGGTACCGTGGAGATAAGACAGTGTCTCTGGGTGCTAATCCTGACCCACCGTGCTGACAAACCGGATGACTTCCACCAAGTTCATTAACACGAAGCTCTTCCGTAAGAGGACATTTACAGCTGTCAGATGAGGCTAGCCACAGCACACCACCTCTTCTGGCTGCTCTAGGCATTAAACGTGATCATCTCTAGGAAAAGCTCCAAGGGGCTCCTGACTCAGGTTAACACTCAATAAACAAGACATGCTGTATTTTCCTATCTCACGCATCTTTTCCCCACCCCCACCCACTTCTTACCCTGCTGGCTGCCGGCTGTGTTCTGACCTGGAGAGACTAAAGTGAGGTTTTCCTTGGTGTGTGCTGATGGTTCCCTTCCTGGCTTACCCCTGCCCCTGCCAGTGAGTGTCCTGGGAAAGGTGGCCTCTGTGCTTGATGCTACTGCCCTCCCAGCAGCTCAGAGGCTGACGCTTGAGGCTCCATCTTGGAGGCTCTCAGAGCTGAACAGCACTGTGGAGACTCTTGAAAGGAGTCTTTTGCCCTTGACTCCTTGGGTGACCTTGGAGGTGGCATTGCTCCTTCTCCTGTCCTCCTTTGACCCAAGGATTTAGAACAGGAGAACTTAACTTGGAAGCCAGAAGGCAGGGTCTTGTGTCGGCTCTGGTGGGGCTGGAGGACCGGGGCCAAGCTTGGCATGTGTCTGCAGCCTGCAGTACCATTTCCAGTTGGAGAGCAAGCTGAGGTGCTAACTGGATCACCTGGCTATTCAGAGGCTGTGGTGGGACAAGATCCTCCTTTTGTAAATGAGGATGCTAGGTACCGGAGGGCAGATGGCTCTCCTCAGACTACAGCTAGATCTTGCTGGCCTTCTATTGAACCCAGGCTGCAGACTTGCTGCTTCTTCCTCCACAGCCGGCTGCTGTACCCTCTTTTCCTCTTTCTCTCTCTCTCTCTCTCTCACACACACACAGACGCATATAACTGCGTCTACAACCTGCGTGTGGCTGAGATGGGGCCTGTGTGCGTATGTGGAATGGTTGTGTGTTGGCGGGTGTGAAGGAGGCCGGGCTGAGCGGCTGCCCTGGCACAGTGCTGGGCGTGGGCCTCCCTCACATGTATGGAAGAGGAAAGGGAGGAAGAGAGCTGAAGGGAGCCTGGTAGGAGGGAAGGCAGACTCAGGGGAGGGGCCTGGTTGGACCTCAGCTGGGTCATCCTCTGTGTGGGATGTGAACTCTCAGGGGCTGGCTGCAGGTTCCTTCTGGGGCAATGCCCTCATCTTTTGGGTTCCCAAGGGAGGTTAGACTGGCCGTAGTTCTTAGGAAATCAGGTAGACCTTCCTCGGCTGCTGGGTCTTCTAGTGTTCTTATTTCTTGTGGTTGGAGCCCCGGGGAGCTGACAGCCCGAAGCTGCCCCTGCACTGTCCACGCATCCCCTGGGGCTGGGCTCGGGAGGCAAAGCTGAACTTGAGTCATCTCGCTATTCCTCTTCTTCTCCCAGGTGTCCCCGCTCCCACCTCACCTCCTCTGGTCTCTTGGGTGACATTCCTAACCCTTAGAACCATCAAGTCCTGTGTCTTAGCTCTAGGATCATCTACCGGCAACAGGACATCAAGGAAACAAGGGACCCTGTTTATTTAAATAGCCACAGAGGTTATTTACCACCTCCGTGCCTGTTTCCTCAATATCTGCCTCAGATTTGTTGTGACGATGCAGCAAGATAACACTATCACAGAATGTAGGAACTTGGCAGGCAATTGAGGCTGGCTACTAATGTGGACTCCTGCATTATTGCCTGTCTGCAGGTGCCGGCTACTAATGCATACTCCTGCATTATTGCCTGTCTGCAGGTGCCGGCTACTAATGTGGACTCCTGCATTATTGCCTGTCTGCAGGTGCCGGCTACTAATGCATACTCCTGCATTATTGCCTCTGTCTGCAGGTGCCGGCTACTAATGCATACTCCTGCATTATTGCCTCTGTCTGCAGGTGCCGGCTACTAATGCATACTCCTGCATTATTGCCTCTGTCTGCAGGTGCCGGCTACTAATGCATACTCCTGCATTATTGCCTCTGTGTGCAGTGCAGGGACGGAAGAATAAGTCTCTGGAGCTTGGGGATGTTTAGTTAAGAAATGCCCAAGTGGCTGGATATGGTGGTACATACCTGTAATTCCAGCCCTCTAGAGGCAGAGGCAGGCAGATTGAGTTTGAGGTCAGCCTGGTCTACACAGTAAGACCCTATCTCAAGGGGGGAAAAAGGAAGAAAGAAGAAAGAAAAGAAACGACCAAGTAGTACTGAATATGCGGCTCAGAAGCACACGCGTGTGGTACATATCTGCCATGTGTGGCCCTGGGGACAATCTTCAGTACCCAAGTTGGGAAAGACATGACTGAGTGAGCGAACGAGCGCTTCTCTCTGCTCTCCACCTTCCAGCCTCTGGGACCACCCCTCCCCCTGCCCCTGGCTTTCCTGGGCTCCATCTACACTGGCCATGTCTTTGGGCCTTTGCCCTTATCCCAGCCATGTGCCACAGCTCTTCACATGGCTGCCTCCCTGTCATCCGCCCCGGGGTGAGGCCCGTGATCAGCTGCTCTCCTGCCTTCTGACTCACTCCCTCTACCCTCACTGCATTATTTCTTCCTAGCGGTTTTCTTTTCCCTCACATGTTTCTAGCTCCTCCCAGACTAGGTTGTCCATTCTGAGATGGGAACCATGGGTGTCTCATTTGCTTCTGTAATCTCAGCCCTGAGCTGGTTACAGCTCCTGGCCCCTCCGAGGCTCCCAGTAAAGTGAGTGAAATCTGAGGAACAGAGTCCCCTGACATTTTCCTGGATGAAATTCCTCCTGCCACGGCGGCTCCTGGTAATCTCTGTGTATCCCCTCACCCTCTTCAACAATTCAGCCCTTTCCTGTCTCCTTCCTCCTCCAGCCCCTGCCCACCTGTATCCAACTGGAGTCAGCATGGCCAACTTCACACCTGTCAATGGCAGCTCAGTCAATCAGTCTGTGCGCCTGGTCACGGCTACCCACAACCACCTGGAGACAGTGGAGATGGTGTTCATTGCCACGGTGACAGGCTCCTTGAGCCTGGTGACTGTTGTGGGGAACATCCTGGTGATGCTGTCCATCAAGGTCAACAGGCAGCTGCAGACAGTCAACAACTACTTCCTGTTCAGCCTGGCGTGTGCCGACCTCATCATAGGTGCGTTCTCCATGAACCTCTACACCGTGTATATCATCAAGGGCTACTGGCCCCTGGGCGCGGTGGTCTGTGACCTGTGGCTGGCTCTGGACTACGTCGTGAGCAACGCCTCTGTCATGAACCTTCTCATCATCAGCTTTGACCGCTACTTCTGCGTCACCAAACCCCTCACCTACCCCGCCCGCCGCACTACTAAGATGGCAGGCCTCATGATTGCAGCTGCCTGGGTCCTGTCCTTTGTGCTCTGGGCCCCTGCCATCTTGTTCTGGCAGTTTGTGGTGGGCAAGAGGACAGTGCCTGATAACCAGTGTTTCATCCAGTTCTTGTCCAACCCGGCAGTGACCTTTGGCACCGCCATTGCTGCCTTCTACCTTCCCGTGGTCATCATGACGGTGCTGTATATTCACATCTCACTGGCCAGCCGCAGTCGAGTCCACAAGCATCGACCTGAGGGCCCCAAGGAGAAGAAGGCCAAGACTCTGGCTTTCCTCAAGAGCCCCCTGATGAAGCCGAGTATCAAGAAACCTCCGCCAGGGGGCGCTTCTCGAGAGGAACTGCGCAACGGGAAGCTAGAAGAGGCCCCCCCGCCAGCCCTGCCCCCGCCTCCGCGCCCAGTGGCCGACAAGGACACTTCCAATGAGTCTAGCTCGGGCAGTGCCACCCAGAACACCAAGGAACGGCCACCCACAGAGCTGTCCACCACAGAGGCCACCACACCAGCCCTGCCCGCCCCTACCCTGCAGCCACGATCCCTCAACCCAGCTTCCAAATGGTCCAAGATTCAGATTGTAACAAAGCAGACGGGCAATGAGTGCGTGACAGCCATCGAGATTGTACCCGCCACGCCAGCCGGCATGCGCCCAGCAGCCAATGTGGCCCGAAAGTTCGCCAGCATCGCTCGTAATCAGGTGCGCAAGAAGCGGCAGATGGCGGCCCGTGAGCGCAAAGTGACTCGGACCATCTTTGCCATCCTGCTGGCCTTCATCCTCACCTGGACACCCTACAATGTCATGGTCCTGGTGAACACCTTTTGCCAGAGCTGTATCCCCGAGAGGGTGTGGTCCATCGGCTACTGGCTCTGCTACGTCAACAGCACCATCAACCCTGCCTGCTATGCGCTCTGCAATGCCACTTTCAAAAAGACCTTCCGGCACCTCCTGCTGTGCCAGTATCGGAACATCGGCACAGCCAGGTAGACAGGCAGGTGCCCTAGGAGGTGCTGGTGTCATGAGTGTGTACCGGGGAACCACATGGGCTCACCGGCTGTGGAGGAGAGAGTAGGCGGCCCGATTCTGAGTTCGCATCTGCTAAAGAGAACAGGTCTCTTAGACAGTGACGCACCAGAGGCTCTTCGCTGGGTCTGGAGAGCAGATCTCTACTGAAGCCCAGGAGGCTTAGCCCAGGGAGGGTCTGAACTGGCACCACCTGGCCCCTACCTGTCACCCTGCCTCAGGAAGACGGGGAACAACGGCTGGAGTGGGCAGCTGCCCTGTCAAGGCCAACTGTCAGCAGAGGTGGAAGGAGGGACAGGAGAGCAGAGGCCAGGAGCATCTCGAGAGGAGCAGAGGAGCCAGGCTTGGAAGGGTGGGGTGCCCCGCTCTGCTGTAATCGGTGCTTTCCGCCTCCCTGCACCCCCCCTCCCCCGCATGTAGGCTCAGCCTTTTCCTTGCACCCAAGTCCCACTCCGGGGTGAGAGATTTTCCTGCCATCGTTGCTCAGCCAGGCTCTGGGTGGGGGAAAGCCAGCCTGAGGTGCCCTGTCACTTCTGTCCCTTCCCTGCCCAGCAGTCACATATGGATGGGGCAACTGGGAAGCCAGGGGACCAAGACTGAGTCAAATAGTGGTGGGTCTTGCTATCAAGAGCACCCCACCCCCTCCGCCCCAGGTCACACATCCAATGAAGGGCAGTATTCCCTCTGCCTCTGCGCGAGGGAAGGAGGGGCCCAAGGGAAAGAAGGGGCGGCAGCGGGGGCCTTGGTCCATACAGGCTTCATTGGCAGGTGAGGCAAGCAAGCACCCTTGTCTCTCCCCAGAGAGAACTTTCCAAACTGGCAAGAGCCTGGACCAAGACTCTTGGCTAGGTGAGGGAGGCAGAGTTCAAGCGAGTTATCTGGGTTCTCTTCCCTGACCCCAGCCCTGTGGTTCCTGGGAGAGATGGTACCCAGGGGCTCCGGAAGACATTTTCATAAAGGTCCTACTCTTTCCCTGAGCGGTTGGGAGCACTTCCTAGCTACCCTCAACTCCCATCGGCCCATCTGTCCCCAACCCCCCACCCCCAACAAAGCTCCATGGCAAATCCCCTGGGAAGGGGCTTTTATATATTAAAAAAGCTTTTATTGGAGAAAAAAAATGTGAGCTCATTTTATTCATTTCTTAGTAACAGGTATCAGGGCGGGGAGAACAAAATGGGGTGCTGGGAATCAGATCCCTCTGTGGGGAGGCTCAAGCTTCCCAGAATCCCTTGTCCCTCCCCACTTTGGGCACTTGGTGTGGGCATGAGAGGGCAGAGGCAGGGCGTCATGGACAAAAGGCACTGGTGGGTTATATTTTGGGCTGGTGGGAGAGGAAGGCTCCTTCCAGGACCCGGGGAAGGCCATAGGCTCTCCAGCATCCTGACGTCAATCCTTTCCTTTCCCTTTCTTGGCTGGAAAACAAGAAAGAAAGGCACTTGTGAGTTAGGTGTTAGGTAGGCTGAGACCCTCCCACAACAGTTAAGTACATCAAGAAGAGGAAATCCTGCCCCCTAGTGGTCTTTGATCAGTTAACCTGGAAGTGGTGGGAAAGGGCAGCCATTGTGATGGCAAGCCTTTTCTTACTCCCTCAACTTTTTATCTCCCCTCACATCTTTTCTTTTCTTCTTTAAAGACAGGGTCTTACTCTGCAGCCTTGAACTCGCGGCTGTCCTGCTGCTTCAGCCCTGAACTTGCAGGCATGAGCCACCATGCCTGGCCTGCTACCTCCTATTTCCATCCAGGATCAGAGTTAAGTTTCTCACCTGGGAAGTGGGCAGACTGACCTCCGCCCTGTTGGCCTCAGTGGCTGTGGTGGGTGAGGCAGCAGCATGGCCCTTGGAGACATCTTTCCTACAGTTTTAAGGGCACAGGAACTCCTCCAAGACCCCACCCAAACCTCCTCAGGTGACAAAGACAAGCCTTTTCCAGGAATCCAGATCGAATGATCCAACAGAAAGAGTAGTTTCTACTTGGGCAAAGAGGGTTTAGCATCTCCTAAGAGTGGCCCTCAAGTGCCTGCCCAATCCCTAAGACTGCTCCGAAGTGATGGCATGAAGTCACTAGCCAGATCCACAACCCCACCGTATTCACTGACCTTTGGTCTTCGACTTGGTCTTGGAGGTGCAGGGCTTGGTCACGCGGATGGTCTCCTGGCACTGGGCATTGTAGCGAGCCTTCTTCAGGGTCCCTTGGCGGGCTTTGGTGCCAGTGCTCCCGTCGCACGCCCCCCAACTCTCAAACTTGTATTTGCAGTCGGCTGACGAGAGAGTGGACCCACGGGGTGAGAAATGGGAGGGTGGTGCTCTCCCCTCCCCCTGCGCCCCGACTTTCCTGCCCTCCTCCTGTGCCCCACCTCACCTCCAAATTCCTTCTTCCAGTTGCAGGGCACCTTGCAATGGATGCGCTGGGTCTGGGCTCCACAGGTACCCTCCCGGAAACCCATACCGCAGTCTTTGCTGCTGGGGGTGCAGGGCCCCCAGGTCCACTCCGAACACTCGCTCCCCAGGCTGCCCTTCTTCACCTTGTCTACAAGGTGCAAGGAACGGAGTTAAGGACGTGGCGGGCCCGGAGACTCCTTCGGAGACCAATCCCTGGGTCCCGCGGCCTCACCTGCCCATCCCCGGCCTTTCCTTTACTCCCGAGCCCACCCTACCCATCACCTTTCTTTTTGGCCACCGCGGAGGTGAGCGCCAGGAGGGCAAGAAGGGCTAGAAGGAAGAAGCCTCGGTGCTGCATCCTAAAGGAAAAGCTTGGGTTAGAGTTTCTCGCCCATTCCCTTCCCGGCTGGGGACCGCGGGAAGGACCTCCCACCCCAACTTGGCCCACTTTCCAGGCCCCAAGGGTCGGGCCGACCAGGGGGCGACGGAGGGCCGACTCGAAGCCGCTCTCCCGGGACTCAGCCGAGCCTCCCCACCCCGCCTCAGCCCCCTGCGTGGCAGCAGCCTGGAGGGCCGGGGGCCACGGGGGCCACGGAGGCCACGGCCGCTGTGCGCGCTCACTCGCTCACTGCCGGCGCGATGCTTCGCTCCCTCCCGCTTCGGCCCGTCCCGCTAAGACCGCTGCGGCCCCTTTTGTCTCCAGAACCGGTCTGAGCCGGTCACATGGGCCCCCGCCCCTCCCCCCCCACCCCATGGAAGGGCCCGCCCCGCCCCCTCCCCTCGAACCCGCACCTCCTCGGACCCCCTAGTCCCCGCCTCCACTGCCGCCCTTTGCCGAGCCGGGGCTCCCGCCCGTGCCCCTCACCTCTGATCTCCGGGGCGCTGGCCCTGCGGCTCCGCCTTGCCCGTCCACTCTGGGCTCAAGCCCTCGATCGGGCTCCCGAGCCCCAGCTCGCTGCCTCCTCCCGCCAACCCCTTCCCTGCTTTGGGCCTGTCCCCTTTCCTCCCGTGCAGCCCAGACAGCTCTCAGGTCACCACTCGGCTTGCCCTCGGCGGGGCCCCGGAGTCCGCCTGGGGTCCCAGGCCCGGGCAGGCCTCTGCACCCACGACCCTTCCCTTCAGGGCCTGGCTCACCTCCGACTTGTTGGGGACCAGTTCACTCAGAGGGCAAGGAGGGGCTCTGATGAGTCGGGGAGCTGGGTGCCGGGGACCCCCGATGGCTGGGGGCGAGCGAGGCTCCAGACCCTTTTTCTAGCGCGGGTTTGAAGGAGGAGGGGAGGGCATTGGGGGGAGGGGAAGCCCGCAGGCCCGAGTTTGGTAAACCTTGTAGCTGACATAGGCTGTCTGAGAAGTTCCAGACCCAGCTTCGCCGGAGGTGATAACCGCCCACCCCTGACCCTGGGGCCTCAGGCTCACCTCAACCGGATCCCCAGTACAGGCCAGGGGGAGGGGACTGCTCCAGGGCCCAGGGCCCATGGACCGAAGAACCCAGCCTGGGCCCCCGCCCGCCCCACCTCTTTTACTTTCATTGTTATCATCCCAGCAGGAGCGGGAAGCAGAGGAAATCAGCTCCGCCTCTAGCCCTACGAGCCTAAGCTGCCAGGCAGAGGTCAGGAGCCGGGCATAATCACCCCAGTTCGGGAAGGAACCCTGTAACGGCCTGAGATATTGGTGGCCATTCCCACACTCCTAAAGTGACCCGGCACACGCTGCTGCTTATCAGAGACCCACACAAGAAAAAAAGAAAACAAGAAAGGAAAAAAAATTCACTTTACTGAGTCACACCCAGCTGTAAACAAGTCGCCGTGGGAGCCCCACCCCCCACCCCAGGCCATACAGTCCGAAATGAAATGACTGGGTACATGAGGATCACCAGGGTAGGTGCCAAGCAGGGCAGCGGGCAGGTGAATACAGCAGGCTCTTGAATTTCTGGGAGGCCCAGGGTGGGTGGGTCAGGGAGAAGGGCTAGGCACCCAGAAGACAGCCCAAAGGACCGGTTGGCTCGCAGACATCCTGCTGAGAGCAGGCCTCCCTGGCGTCGGTGCGGAGCTCCTTCAGGTCCTTCCATCGGCCGTGGTCGGGGGAAGGCTGCCCTGAAGGGACCCAGCCAGCCCAGCCCGTCTCCTGTTCCCCACAGACCCAAGGGCAGGTGAGGGTCCAGCTCCTCAGAGTCCAGCCCTAGATCTGAGCGGCTTCTCAGGGGGTTGCACGGGGCTCCTCCCCTGGGGCAGGGTCCCCCCATGGCCATCCAACAGGAATGTGGCAGTGAGGTGTGGGCAAGGAGAGCTCCCGTCCTCTGGTAGTGTCCCTCGCTGATCCATGGTCCCCTTAACTACACAGCCGTCTCCTGGTCCTCACGCTGGATCATCTGGTAATGCTGTCTGTTTTCCAGGTAGGCAGCTAGCTCTGTGTCCTGAGCCTTCTCAGCTCGCTGCCGGGGAGTGTCGCCCTGGAGAAGGGGGAAAGGGCCCCGAGACCTTAGGAGAGGGCAGGGGCTCTGCTCCCCAGCCTGTGGGGGATGGATAACCTCACAGGTCACAAGGTCTCCCCCTACTGGCTCAGGTTTCTCAGGGCCTGGACTGCGCTGGCTCTGAACAGCTTCAAATTTCCTAGCCCTGCCCCCAACTTTTGGAGAGGGTGGGTTTGTGTTCTGCCAGACAACTCACCTGCTGGTCTGTCTTCATGAGGGAGGCCCCGGCTTCTACGATGTAGTGGCAGATGGTGCGCTGACCCAGGGCGGCTGCCTGGTGGAGACAGGTCTCCCCGCTGGGGAGCAGGGGCTGGATGTGGACACCTCTAGTCCTGGGCCTGCCCAGCTGTCTCCCATCAGAAAGGGCAGGAGTTTGGCGAGAGGGGGAGGGGTACCCCATGCTGGCCAGAGAGGGTTCTTGGGCCCTGGGTGACCGAAGGGCTGGGACTGAAGGTGGTTTGCGGGCCTGGGCTGTGCCCCAGATGCTCACTTCTCCTCCACCGCATCGAGGATCTCCGGTGGCGCTGCACCAGGGAGAGAGCACTGAGAATCGGCCAGCCCCCTCTCCTCACCCCAGCCCCAGGAGCACACTTACCATGGTCCAGCAGATAGCGGACCACTTCCTTACTGCCCGTGCTGACCGCGTGGTGCAAGAGTGTGCGGCTCTGTTGGTCCCGGTGCATGAGGTCTCCTCCTGCTCGGTGTAGCTCCTGGAGCTGAGGGCAATGGGCAGAGCAGAGCTGGGTCTCCCTCCCTCCACAAGCATGGACCCAGGCACTGGCTCACACAAGTTACATGCTAGGAACCTTTGAGGGTTTTTGTTTTTTGAGACAGGATTTCTCTGTGCAGTCCTGGCTGTCCTGGAACTCACTATGTAGACCAGACTGGCCTTGAACTCAGAGATCCCCCTGCCTCTGCCTCCTGAGTGCTGGGATTAAAGGTGTGCGCCATCACACCTGGCTTCTGAGGTGTCTCTTGAGACACAAGTCTTTAATTCCTACATGTGAGGGACTCCCCCAAAACGCACAGCCAACCAAGCCTTGGAGCCTGTGGTTCCTTTAAGACTGACCCCGTTCCAAGGAACCAGGGACAGAAGACTGGCTGAGGTATCCCCTAGTAGTAAGTCACCTAGACAGGGCAACCCCATGGAGGACCAGATGATGACAGACAAGTGCCTAACACCTCCCAGGGTGAGGGGCTCCAGGGGCAAGGCTGAGCTCTGACTAGTACCTTGCAGAAGTCATTCCTCTTGGCGGCTTCAATCAGCTCTTCACCTGCACAGAACATCTGTCCATCAGACCCTGAGGTCAGAGGCCTAGGTATGGTTGATGTATGACTAGTGTGTGTGATGATGTACCACTGTCCATGGCAGGTGCGTGCTGGGCAGAAATGCTAAAGGCTGGGCTTGCACAGGAAAGGGATCACAGGACTCAATGGCTGTGCCTGTCAGCTCCAGGTGAACCCTGACCCCCACTCAACTCACACTCCCGACCAGGGAAAGGAAAGTGGCAGAGCCCTAGGGGAAGAGGCCTCACCTTGAGGTGGTGCGGCATCCCCCTGCAGTGACCTGCAAATAGAACAGGGTGAGTTGTGACCCAGCTCAGCCCAGCTGGCCACCTTCCCTGGCCCCAACCATGGCGGCCTTCATTTCTTCAAGTTTACTGAGTGCCTACTGCATATCACACACTGGGGGTACAAGCAGGGAGCCAGACAGACGGGGAGACCTTGCCATCCTAGGGTTCGCATCCTAGCTCAGAGACACAAGCCAACCAATAAATAAGGATTTGGAAGTGCCATTAAAACACGACAGGGCAGTGTAGCCAAGCAGCTGTGGACTGGGGACTGGATACTTTCCAACCTTCAGGTGGCATTCCTGGAAAAGATCCCTCTGAGAGAGAAAAGCCAAGCTGAGACTTGGGGGAGGGTGTCTGAGAAGGGGCAAGTGGGAGGCAGCCAGGGCAGAAGTTCAGAGGATGGCCTGGGACCTCAAGGGACCTGGGCTGAGGTACTGTGGTAAGGGACAGGGAAAGCTGCTGGGCTCAGAGAGGCCAGGAGGCCCAGGACTGAGGGCTGCTGAGAAAGAGGGTTCTAGGCTGGAGGGTGGCCTGTTTGGACCTGCACGTTCAGGCACTCTGAGTGACAGGCCTGGAGGCAGAGGAGTGCAAAGGGAGGAATGCTCAGACAGTGAGGAGCACCACCGTAAAGGGACAGAGCCAGGTGCTCCCGAGTGCTCATGCTGTGGCTAAGGGCGGAAATTCCAAGCCTGCAGTCAGCAGACAGGATTTAAAGCCAGGGGAGTGGTGGTTGTGGGGTGGGGGGAGCTCGGGGACTCACCGGGGTATAGGGGAACAGGGGGAGGCAGGGAGCGGGGAGGTAGGGGTGGGGAGGTCAGGCCGGGCTGATGCCCCCAGCAGCTCAGGGTCTAGGATATAAATCTCGTCCTGGGCAATCTCTGTCACATAGTTGAGGTGTTCCTGTGGAGGGAGGGTTAGAACTGAAGGTCAGTGCCAGGCACGTGGCCTTTAGTCCCCAGGGATGGGGGTGGGGTTTAGGGGGCAGGAAGCAAGGCAGCAGCCCTGGAGGACCCACTCTCAGAGCAGGAACATCAGGGGAGGCAGCAGGGAGAGAGGGGTAGTCCCTCTTCCCATTATTGCTTCGCCTGGTCCCTGGCCTCTCTCTGTGGCATTCACCAGCTCAACAACTACTTCCCACTGCTAAGCCAGGTGATCGAGCCCTGGCTATTTTCTTCCCTGGATAGCACTGTGCTTCCAGGCCCTCCCTTCCACCCACCCAGAAAGCCTTTTCTGGGTATGCCAGCTTTTTCTGTTGGCACCATCCCTGTGCATTCCTGGAGGGTGGGGGCATGTGATCCACAGCCACAGGCATGTGAGTATATGGCCATGAGGCTGTGGTGAGCATGCTTGGCTTGTGCGGCTAACCCTGAAACTTGCCTACAGAGGTGAGTGTGTGGGGTACAGAAAAGGCCTGCAATGCTTACCTGGGCCCTGTCAATCCTGTAGAAACGGCTGGCAGTGGTGGCTGGAGAAGAGATGGCTGGCTGAGTATGAGGAGCGTCCTTGTCCCAGCCCAAGTCTCCTTTTGCCCGACCCAGGGTCCCTCAAAGGAGGACTCGCAGGCCAGAGCCCAGGGCTGCCTAGAACTGACCCTTCAAGGCAGACTCACCATCCAAGAAACACCACTTGGGGGACAGCTGGTGGCACATCGGGGACTTGGCTCCAGCACCATCGGGCTCCTGTTGAGACAGAAGCGCAGGTCAGGTGGGCCACAGCTAGTCTGGGAAGAAAGCTCAGGTGCCCCCACCTCCTCCTGCTCCCACTGCTGACCTGCTGGAGTCTCTCGATGTGGGCACGGCAGAGCTCTAGGTCACTGTCTCCAGGGACCACCACAGTGCCCAGGGGCACAGCTGGAGGACAGAGAGGCCTTTCAGCAGCTAGCTGCATGTCCTTGCTGCAGGCAGCCCAGCAGCTGCTCACCCCCACCCCCCACCCCCCGCCCCAGCCCTGCCGCCACTCACAGGCTTCCCTGAGCTGCTCCTTGTCGTAATGGAGAGCCTCATAGTCGTGCATGCTGACCCTGCTCACCTGGATCCGCAGCTGCTCGGGAACCGGCTGCTGACTGTGGAGGGGCCAAGGACAGGGAACTCAGCAAGGACCCTGCCTAGGATACCAGTCCTCAGTGGGCGCAAGGCCAGGTGCTAAGAGGGGCAGCCTGCCTCCCTCCCAAAACCCTTTATTTTGGATGCCAGCACAACCTATAGCCTCATGCAGGCTAAGCAAGTGCTCCTATCACCCAACTACAAGTCCCTTTGCAGGTCAGGAAACCAGAGCTCAAGTAAAGCAGGGCCTGCCTCCAGGCCCCACGGTCCATGATGGCTAACATGGGACCTACTCGCTGTGCAGTGGAGCAGCACTCCGGCGCTTGGCCTTCTGCACCATGGTGGCCTGGTTGCGCAGGGCGATTCGAATACGTGATGCTGCAAGCTTGCAGGGCTCACCATCCACCTGCACAGGGATGGCCTTGGCCGTGGTGAGCAGCACTTCTCGGCACTGGGTCAGCCGCTCGCCGTGCCCACCCACCTGCAGTGCGGCCTGTGGGCACAGAATTCTCAGGTCAGGTGGCGGGCGGGGCAAGCTCTGCTCTTTCCAGAGAGGTTCTGGTGAAGGCAGAATGCAAAATGGAGGGACCAGACAGAGGCACTGAAGACTCCCTCATCAGATGGGAAGTAAAGTGCCTTCCGCTACATCAAGAGGAAGGAGAGTCATCATCCAGCTAGGGAACAGAGGCCATATTGGAGCCTTAGGCCAAGTAAGGAGCTGAGGTGACCGCTCTACCCTGGCTAGTAAAGGGCAAGGTAGACACAGTTTAGGACTAGGACCACTCACCAAGGATGTCATGGTAAAGCCGATGACCTCGAGGTAGCCATCATCATGCCGCTGGGGCTCAAAGTCATGGTGCTCCCCAGGGTGGCCCCAGGGCATGGTGCCTGCACAGTACCTGGGGGGGGGGGGGGGGCAACAGATGGGCTCTGGCATGGACTCAGCGGGATGGAACAACGGCCCACAGGAGCCCTGCTTCCTCACCTGGGGATGTTCAGAAAAACGATGCACTGGGGTTTCAGGTCCTGGATCTTGGGGGTTAGGTCCATTCCATCACACTGGACACAGGAACAGGGGAATGCAGTTGGAGAACGCACATACCCAGGTGGCCTCCCTCCTACGGGACCCCAGTATGTGTCAGTCAGCCCTCCTTACCACTACTCTGATGTGCTTGGCTAAGTCCTTGGAGCTGCCCATCAGGAAGTCAGAGAAGGCCGTCTGTGAGAGATACAGGGTGTCATCAACTCATGACAAGGGCCTTCCCCACCACTGTGTCACAGGGCACAGGGGACTCACCCCAGCATAGAACATCTTATTCCGAAAGCGGCTGTTGAACTTCTCTGGGTTGGCTTCTGGCAGAGACAGGGGGCGGGGGGGGGGGGGGGGGGTGATGTCGTCAAACTGATGCTGCTTCCCAGGTTATGGTGGGAAGGAAGACCAAGGGAGCAAGGTCTGGCCCTCCCCGGGACACCCTTGAACCTCCCTCTCTGCCCTGGCCTCCCAAAGTTCCTTCAGCAGGAGGATGCTAACCTCGAGACTCATGAAACTCCAAGGTGACGTGGGCATCAAAGCCCAGACTGAAGTAGTTGTTGAAGACATCCAGGGGCAGCTAGAAAAATGTCAAGGTGTAGAAATGAGGAGGTGACTCTCAGGTGCCAGCTCTTCCCAAGGCCAAGATCAGCAGTCATTACCCTTGCTCAGTCCATTTACTTCTAAAGGCCTTCGAGTCAAGGGAACAGTGTGCCAAAGTTTCCCCCAACCACCCCTGCAGCACTGCTTGGGAGGCCCTGTTCTTGGAGGACCTGCTGGGTCCTTAACGGCACTGCATCCCCACATGCCATATACTCTTATCAATATTCCCTCCAGGAATAGGGACTTAAGTCTTGCCACGGCTTAAAACAGAGCCTGGCATATTGGAGGCCCTCACTTAGCATGTGCCAGGAGGCTGAGTAAGAAATCAGCTTGTAGTGGGTACCATTATGCTCCTGGGACAGAAAGAGGCTGGAATGTGAAGAACTAGGAACTCAGCTTTCCAGAATCAGTAAGTGTGTAGAGTCCAGCAGGTCCTTAAGAATCCCAGACTCATGAACCCCCTGCCTAGTAGCCCTGGCTGACCTACCCGGTCAGTGGCTCCATCATCTCGCTCCTCAGGTCCTGCCTCAGGGTTGGGCTCTGCTCGCAGGTCCCAGCGGTCCAGCTGTACCACATTCCCCTCCTCTACATGGGAAAGGATCTTTGACACAGGCTCATCTGTGTAACCCTGGTGGAAGGAGGCTGAGACTGAGCTTTCCCTGTGGTCAAAGGATACCCTTCCTCCCGGGCAACCCTGTTCTGAAGGGCACTTACCCCACCCCAGTTGAGGGTGCGGGCCAGGTCATTGCCAGTACCCAGGGGCAGGATGGCCACAGGGGGTGGTGGTTTTAAGCGCAGCTGGTCCAAGGTGGACAGAATCCAGCCAACCTGGAGGAGGGCACAGCAAAGTGGGTCAGCCAGGCCCAAGATGGGGGAGTGATGCATCAGGCATGAGCCCTGCTCACGGAACTCACCGTGCCGTCACCCCCGCAAGCCAGAATCCTCAAATTATGCACTTTGCGGTACATTTCCAGCCTGGGCCAGGGGAGGACAGGAATAGAGTCAGGAGACATGTGACATAGCCAGAGCGAGGCAAGCCCCCACTGTCCCGGAGAACCTGGTGGGGTACTCACGCCTCCCTGGGCCCCCCCTGGCTCAGGTCAAAGACTTGTCGAGGATTCAGATACCACAGGAAAGACTGGATAATCTTAGCGCCCTGCAGGGACAGTCGAGGGACAATGAGGAAGGGATGAGGGAACAGGTGTCAGGAGCACGGACAGGGGACATGGTTGTGGGAACCAGCTACAATAAAAGGAGAGATGGGACAGGGTCCTCTCAGGGTCCCTGGAACAGCAAGGTGGGGGCTGAAGCCCCAAATGGTTGCTAGAACAACTATGGGCAGGCGGGTATAACACTGGCCACCTCCTCCCTCGTGGCTTGTGGGTAGAAAGCTTGTGCTTACCTGGTTGCCCCCACTCTTGGGGTTCACAAACACCAGCAGGGGCTTCATGAGGGGGGATGGGGTGGGCCTGATGATGAAGGGTCTCCATCGGCCTTCCTGGGAGACAGAGAGCCTGTAAGGCTCTTTTCTGTGCTGGAAGCCCTAGCTGACATCGCCTCAGCATCCCTTGCCACAAGTGAGCACACCCTCACACATCAGACCTTTCACGGGCCTGTCCACAAGGAACAAGGAAGTTGATCTCCCACCTCCTCAGACCCCCAGAGCCCAACCTGAGCCAGGCTAAACTGGCAGTCGGGTCCATAGCCCTGGACAGAGAAAGATTCCCCTTTCCAATTCCTGGCCTCAATGACTGCAGCCCAGGCCTAACCTCAGGTCCTTTCTTGCTGGATCTCCTCTTGAAGGACGCTCTCTTTTTCTTCTTGCTGGCCTTGAGGGTATTCTGCAAAGGAATCAGGGGTGTGGGTGAGGTGTGACTGGTAGGTCCCCTTGGGGAGAGGTGTTAAGAATAGAGGAAGCGTGGGCGGTGGTGGTGCACACCTTTAATCCCAGCACTCGGGAGGCAGAGCCAGGCGGATCTCTGTGAGTTCGAGGCCAGCCTGGACTACAGAGTGAGTTCCAGGAAAGGCGCAAAGCTACACAGAGAAACCCTGTCTCGAAAAACCAAAAAAAAAAAAAAAAAAAAAAAAAAAGAATAGAGGAAGGACTGACTCACCTGGGGCCTCCGGGCCCGGAGGATCCAGGTGGGTGGGATGACCACAGCTGCATGCACCCCCAGGGAGCAGGGTTCCTCAATCTGCTGCAGCATGAAGCAGGACACCTTGCTGTGGTACTAGAAGATAGCCATCGGCAAGGCTGAGCTGGGCCAGGATGAGACTGGGGGCCCACCGGAAGCCCAGCACAGGCTCACAGAGGCCACTTACTGCCTGCTTGCACCAGGAGCAACTGATGGCCACGATCTCCTTGCTGTGGAAAGTGAACTTCTGCTGGAAGCCCTGTGGACGGACAGGGTGGCTGGGGCACAAGGTGGCTTCGTGGAGACCCAGCCTTGCTGCCACCACCAACCTCTCCTCACCCAGGAAAACGAAGCACATTCAAAAACAAAAGCAAACAAACACGAAACTCCAAATGTAAAACAAGCCTGCAGGGCAGGGCAGGGCAGGGCAGGGCAGGGCAGCTTAGCAGGAGCCCATGAGCACTGCAGCTGACTGCAAGGAGCCGAGTGTGCACTCCAGAGCTGCCTAACTGGGGATTCCTTCCTGCCCCTGGACCTAGACAGGCCCCCCAGAGTTCTGTGCTGCCCTCACTGTACCATCATATCCGTGTCCTGTCACAAACCATCATCAGTGGCTACCGTGTGTAGGGCACGGAGGGAAAAGAATGGAGGGATGAGCCCCTGCATTCTTGAGAGTCAACAGGCAAGCAGTCAACAAGTGGGCAAGCGACAGTGCTGTGTGGGAAGGTGTCCGGAGCAGTGCGTCCACAAGCCACTATCCCCAGGAGGCAGGGAGCTGCTGCCTAGCTCAGGACACCACACACACACAGCATCCCTAAAGAACTACTGAATAAATGAATGAAAAGTCAATACACTTCTCAAAGGGCCCCATGAGAGTTCAAAGGTCAGACACCCACATCAGAAGACAATCCTCTTCCCTCCCTTGCTCAACTCAAAGACCCAGGGCATAGCCAAGGAGCTTGGGGACTGACTGAACGCCAGCAAACTGGAGACCCCACACTGGACACACGGGCCAGTGGGCAGCATGGCCGTGCCCTCAGACAGGCCTTACCTTTCCACAGTGCCGACACTTGCCGTCCTGACGTCGCCTGTGCACCCAGTGGTGTCTGACGAAGGTTGGCTGGGGGAGGGGAGAAAGGTCACGGGAATGAATGAGGGGTTGGATAGGTACAGCCCTGAACTCAGCCCACAGAAAGCCTCTACAGGCCCTTGTAGAGAGATCAAAGGGACTGCAGAGTTCTCCATGGCCTGGAGCGAAGGTTGAACCCCACCCCTCTGCAGACAGACGGCTGACTCTCTCTCTCTGAGTGACCCCAGATCCTCCATCTAGAAGCTGAACCCCTGGTGGCACTGTAGAGGATCCCTCAGATACTTGCGCCCTGTCCCCCCCTGCTGCCCCGCACGCTTACCTCACGAACATTCCTGGAGCCTGATTCACGGAAGGATGGCTTACAGCGAAAATTGATCTGTGAAATATTGCAGTGACCACCAAAATGTCAGAGCCTTCTTTTGGACAAAGTCACCTAGAGTCAACCTCACAGGCAAGTAGAGTCCCAAATCATCCCGATAGCCCCTTGGAACATGGCTACCCCCTCTCAGAAGTCCTCTTGACCACTGGCCATAGGGATCTTTCCTTTTTTTACTTGGGATACAGGGATGGAGAGGCTAGGGTGGGGTCGGGGTTCATGTCCACCTCACACTGTGCTGAGTAGGAGCACTGTTTGCTCATCTTATTTATTTCTCACCCTCCAGCATTCCCAGCTCAAGTGAATGAAGGCAGACACCAATCCCTCCTGTGGCTGTGCAGACTGACACCTGGAGACCCTTAGCCAATGTGCTAAACCCAGGTTCATGGTCACCTTCCATGATGGGGCTGCATTTTCCTTCTCTCTCTCTCTCCTTCTCCCTCCTTCTCCCTCTCTCTCTCTCTCTCTCTCTCTCTCTCTCTCTCTCTCTCTCTCTCTCACACTCACACACACACACACACACACACACACACACACACACACACACACACACACACACATACACACACACACACAGCCCCGGTTGTCCTGGAACTCTCTACATAAACCAGGCTGGCTTTGAACTTGAAGAGATTGTCTTGCCTTCCAAAGGCTGGGACTGCAGGCATGCCCCACTATGCCCAGCCAGGATGCATTTCTACTTTTCTTTCCCCACAGTGCCTGCTCCAGTCTCGGGAGAGTCACAGGAAAGCCTCACTGTACAATTCAGGGACAGGACAAATCAGCCCAAACTAGCCTTGCTGGGGGCATTTCTGTTCATAAAGACTTGTCACGTGATGGCCTGGACTTGCGCAAGCAAGGGAGCTCTCCTCTTCCACACCAGACCTATTCCCTGTCCTGACCGGCACCTGGCACTCCCCTTTCCCTCTCACAGGCATGCCTGGAAAATGGTCCTTGGGAAATATCTTTACAGAGGTAGCATATAAGAAAACAGATGGGCCCAGTCACAGCTGAGCATTTGGAAGTTTGACTGTTTTGTTTTTATTTTCTGGAATTGGGGACTGAAGCCAGAGCACCGTACATGCAAGACAACTACTATAACCCCAGCCCACAACGGCTCTTCTGAATGTTAGGCTGGACATGGTAAAACAGCACACTGGCCACCACCTGCTAACTCATGTCGTCAGGTAATAGTCGATGAACCTCACTTCTAGGCCATGCTCACTCTAAAGAGTAAGGTACAACCGCTAACACACGGGGAAAGGCAAGGTTAATGCAGGCATCTGACTCGGGCTTTGCTATGGTGCTCGCTGGGGCATCCAGGCAAGCTATGCTTGTGGAACATGGATGTGCATGGAGATCCACATGTGTGTGTATCAAGAAAGCTCCAGCATCCCAAGGGGAGGGCACAAAAGGCTGAGGAGCTGCACGCACCTTCTCCAGCTGCTCAATGCATGGGGTGTGCACCACAATTTTACAGGCTGCACACTTTCTTCTGGGCACTGACTTCTGCTGCAGGACAGAAAGAGAGGAGGCCCTGAGGCACCAGGTAACTTAATCCTAAATACCACCTCAGGCCAAGCAAAGAGCATGCTCGACGTATGGGGATTCCAGTCCCAGCACCTGTCATCAGACAAGACCCCCTTCCCCTCACCCTGGAGCAGCCCCTAGCAAGTGCAACCAGGTGCAAGCAGCGCCCACCAAGAGGCTGCAGCTGTTGCCTTGCAGGTTAGATCCACTACACCACCAGGGGGCAGCAGGTCCCACCAAGCTCACTCACCAGCATCTTGGCTACGCAGTACTGCTCCCCGACATAGCAGAAGTCACCGGACACGTTGGTCTCAAACCAGATGTGCTCCCCATATGCTGCTGACTCCTAACCCAGGGGATGAGCAGGCTCAGTGTTTACCTGCCGCCGCTGGGGCCCTACCCATCACCCACCTCCCAAAACAAGCCTGCTACAGTCACCACAAGCTGCTTTCCTCCCTCGTTTTCTAAACTGCTTTAAGCCTGCCTCAAAGGCTGCTGCCTCGCCCTGGGTCCTGACTGCTCAGGAGGATCCAAACCCAGCAGGGACTGGCACTGAGTAGTGTTCGGGCTTCCTGCCCTGCCTAGTGCACAAATACTCACACTCCAGTCCACAGTGCTCCGGATCTGCCGCTCAGATTCACCACACGGGGCCCCAGACGTGGGAGGAGGGGGTGCCAGGTGCTGGAGGCCTGACTTGGTGATGGCTTTCCTACAGAAAGGAAGACAGCTGAAGCCCCAGGGCCAGCTGAGAGTTTGCCGACTCTACTTCCTTCCCACTACCCAGAAAAACTGCCACCCGGGACTTGCACAAAGTACAAGACGGAGAAACCCACAGAAGCTCAGATGCCCTGAGACTCTTCTTCAGGCCCTTCTTCCAGCACTGTCCAGAGCTGCTTCCGAGTGGGCCACCCCCAGGCTAGGCAGAGCTTCAAAGCCCTTACTGAGCTAGACCCCATGGAGGCTACACCACACGCCCTGCTGACCTGCTATACCTACATAAGCAGGGTGTTCCAGGGCTGGGGTCCAGCTGACTTCCGCCTTAGAGCTACCTGGCGTCTGCGAGACAGTGGGCGCACACGGGCAGGTATCATGGGGCCTGCTGCAGTGCCCGAGGCTCTTTGGCTTCGGCCCCCAAGACCCGGATGTTGACCTGAGGGCCACCGCTGGCTGAGGCGACGATAGTGCCCATGCAGGCCCCAGAGGGTATGGCCATACACCACGTCAGCAGGGAGCAGGTGGGAGGAGGCTCTGCGTAGGCAGCGGGGCATGGGAAGCAACGGCCAGGTGCCCTGGTGTGAGGAGGGCCTTGGTGTCCTGGTACTTGGTTTGGCATCACTTGATGCTGTCTCATCTCCCTCCTGGGCCCCTTCCTCCTCCTCCTTCATGCCCATGAGCCCAGCCAACAGCAGAGGTGTACCCAGAAGCTGGGCCCCAACAGTGGCAGGCTGTAAGGTGGGCACCATATCCACCATAAAGCGAGGATTGCAGGCAGGGGGTGCAGTGCTGGACCGCCTGCGGCTGGCTTGGGTGCCCACCCTGCATCTGGGGAAACAGCCCTGGAGCTGTGCACTGGAGCGGCGCCTCTGGGCCAGTGAGGAGGAGGCCTGCCCTGCAGGGGAGCGGCGTCGAGCCTTGCCTGTGGGCAGCCCCACACCACTGGACCTCCGCAGCCTCTCTCCAGGACCTGGTGCCTTCCGTTGGAAATGCCTCCTAAAGAAGGTCTCCATGCCAGGGGCTGTTGGGCATACAGACTCAGAGTGTCAGGAGCTGGACTAAGCTGAAGCCCACCTGCGCCCTACCAGCAAACAAGGGACATTTCAGTGCGAGGGATGAGGACGCTGTGGCCTCCAGTAAAGTGCTTGCAGGGATCAGGAAGATCAGGGAACTCAGGCTTACAGCTAGTGGAGAGCAGATACTGCTCCCAGCTAAGATTCCCCAAATTCTACCCCAGGAGTTTTTGGGAGACGGGCTTCACCTGCCCAGGCACTAGAACCAACAGAGGCTTGCGTCTAAAGGGTCCTCATCTACCCTGCCAGAAATGAAAACAAAAGGCAGTCTGGGGATCAGACTCTGCCTAGGGAGACTGTAGGGCCCTGCTGGAGTGTTCCCTCTCATCTGGCCTTCCTTTTGCCCCAACATGGACCAGGCTGGGTTCATCTCCTGGGATACAGTGCAACTAAGCAAAAAGAAAAAAAAAAAAAAAAAAAAAAAGACTCGGTCTCTCTGCAAGAGATCTCAGTCCTGATGAAATCCCTACACTCAGCCCCAACTTTGGGTTTAGACACTGGGAAACCAGGCTTTAGAGAGTTGGAAAGACATGTCCCTCACCACCCCCAGGAGAGAGTGCTCTTGTCTTAACTTGGGGGATGCAATAAGAGGCTTAGGCTAAAAGAAAAGCCTTCTGCCGGCAGTGGAGGCACACACCTTTAATCCCAGCACTCGAGAGGCAGAGCCAGGCGGATCTCTGTGAGTTTGAGGCCAGCCTGGTCTACAGAGCGAGATCCAGGAAAGCCACCAAAACGACATGGAGAAACCCTGTCTCAAAACAAAAACAAAAACAAAAAAAACCCAAAAAAAAAGAAAAGAAAAGCCTTCTGAATTCTGGATGCCATGTGTATACATCTCTGAGAACTTCCTGGTACTGAGTGGCTCTGTCTCACCTTTCTAAAGAGCGGAGTATGGATAGCCCAAGGTGTGATGCCTGGAAATTCCTTAAACCTTCCTGCCTAGGGACCCAGTGCACCATACTGTCCCCAGACTCCAAGGCTTGAAGCCTCAGGCTCATAATCCTAAACTTGAGATGACCCATACTGCCTCCTGCAGGGAGGCAGGGGCCTTGGTCTCCACCCTTGGTGTGTACCAGGCCATGCAAGCTCTCCTCTCCAGAGGCCCTCGCTCTCCCTTTACCTACTCCCTGTTCTCTCTTTCCTCCTTCCCAGGCCACTGGAGTCAGCTTTCTCTGCTCACACCTCTCCTACACCTGAGGAATGGCGGGAAGCCTCCCGTCAGTTGAGGGTGATAGCTCCAAAGAGCAGTCATGGAGGCCTAAGTCACAGCCATGGGACAAATGACAACCATGAACGAGTACCAGACAATTCCCGCCTACTGGGGACCTGGCTGAAGCCCAGAGCAGGGATGGGGTACCTTAACCATCAATGAGCAACAGGAAGGACAGGCTGGGAGTATAGTCCCACCTAATATATGTAGCACCTGATCTCAATCCTCCATCTGTCCTTGCCATGAGTCTTGGGCAGGTAGCTTCAGGGCCAGTATAGGGTATAAGGAGAAGGAAGTGGGTCCAGGGGACAGAGCTCCTGCAATCAGTGAGCAGGGAGGTAGCTGTGCTGGGAAAGCAGCATGGAGACTGGACAGGAGGTGAGTTCCAGAAAACTAAAAGCAGACACTGGTAGAAGAGGGCTGGTTTCCTACCAAAGTCGGGGCCATCCAGCTAACACTTACGAGTCCACTATGCACATGCCTGCGTACACACACACACACACACACACACACACACACACACACACACACACAGAGTGAGTGCCCAATGAGGAATCTAAGGCACAAAAGGGTAGCATATACAAAGCCCACAGACAGTATAGAGCAGATGGATCGGTCCCCAGGTATGGGTAGAGTACAAGGCCCTCTTGGACCCCGGGTCAGAGGTGACATGGGTTAGAGAAAGGGCGCCCATAATATTAACCCCCTCCTATCTACCCAGCACCTATTCTGTGACAGGCCTTGGGTAAGCCCTCTACCCTCTCACTGATCCTACCATAGCCTCTGAGGAGGTACAACCAACAAACAGCTTTATTATACAGATAAGGATGAGGTTCACAGTGGTAAGAGCATGCCCAGAGTCACACAACCAGCCAGTGGCAAAGTCCAGGTCTTGTGCCCAAGGCTACTTGAGTTAGGGTCCACTTTCTGTCCCAGGAAGAGGAAGCTGCAGGCCTACTTGCCTGATGCTGCCAGGGCCCTTGCTTGCCAGGTCTCCCCTAGGGTGTCAGCTTTCCCCACCACTCTGCTCAGGCCGCACTGTGACAGCTGCCCAGCCTGGAGGAGATTAGTCACCCGGACACATCACACCGCCTGATGCTAGTGTCACCCAGAAACAAAAGGCCACAGTCAGTGTGGGGGAGGTGCTGCTATGCTCTCTGGGCACTGGTAAAGCCTGGGCCCTCCCTGCTGTCCCAGACCTGCATGACAAGACAAGAAGGAAGCAGCTCTTGTTAGGATATATGGCTGCTTATACGCACAACTATAGAACCCACACCTGCCCAGTGCTCCAAGACACACTTGTAACAAATGTTTCCTCAGCTGCCCCTGGGTGCAGCCTCCCAGCGGAGCACAAGGCCAAGTCAGTGCAAATGACCATGTACCATGGACCTCAGTTTCCCTGTTTGTCTAAGAAGACTGTTACGATTGTTTTACTTCTTAGGACAAGCTCCTCTGCTGGACACTACCACCCCCAAACACCACTGGGTTCCACGGCCCCCTCCTGCTGGTTGGTCCCATGTTTCCTGTGCATCTCATCTCTATAGAAACTTTGGTCTACTGGCCAGAGATTGCCTGATTCCCCACTTCCTATCTCTGCAGAGGCTGTTCCAGGATCTGATCAGAGGCCTAGCCTGGGCTGGGCCTGGCAGTTACTGCCTATTATCCCAGCACTTTGAAGGCTGAGACAGAAAGACTGTTGTAAATTTGAAGCCAACCTGGGCTACACAGTGAATTACACTGGGCTACAGTGTATAACTGTATTAAAAAGAAGTAATAATAATAATAATAATAATAATAATAATAATAATAATAAAGCTCAGCACGATGGTGCACACCTCTAATCCTAGTACTTCAGAAGCAGAGCAGGTGGATCTCTGTGAGTTTGAAGCCAGCCTGATCACCAAAGCAAGTTCCAAGACAGCCAGGGCTTCACAGTGTGACCCCATCCTGATTGATTTAATTACAAAACAAAACAAAAAAGCAAATAAAAGAAGCCCTGTTTGGGCCTGGGGTTCTCCCATGGTTCAGTTCTGAAAGGCCATTCTTCTCACCTCATTCCCTGTCACCTCCACACACCACACAAGTACAGGTAAAGGTCATGGGGGAGGCCCCAGAAGATTCTCACACCGACAGCACAGCAAAATGGTTGCCCACAGGCTGCCTGGTTTTGTCTGGAGCAGCCAGCCACACTCAAGAAGGACAGCATAAAAATGGCTCAGAGGGCCCCATTAATCTCCACCTGACCCCTAGGACCCTGATAAGGACAGGGCCATGGGAGAGCGAGGGATGCCATGAACAACAGGTATGGCGATGTCAGGCCACGTGCCCTTGGTGAGCAGAGATGCAGCAGCAGAGCTAAGGCTGTCGCCCGTGGGGTTAATGGAGCCCAGCTAGGAAGGGGTGATGGCCCCCTAGCCAGACCATTTCACAACTGATGCCAACTCCAAGTAAAAAGAACAAGCACTATGGACCGGCACTTGGGAGCAGAGGCAGGAGGCAAGGTCATCCTGGACTACACAGCAAGTTCAATGTCAGCCTAGGCTACATAAGGCGTGTCTGCAAATAAATAAATAACCTAGCATCCACCACCATGCCCTTCAGCAGATCAACTAGCCATTCCAAACCCACGCTCCCATGTGCGAGATGGGGTCACACCACCCAACTTCAAAGGCTAGCATGAGGACATTCTGTTACAACCATGCACATAAGCACCTGATGCTACTTGGCAGACCTGGAACGTGGTAGAACCCCAGGGCCCATGGTCGTGCCACCTCCTGAGGTTTGTCTCTGCCCACAGCGGGGGTGGGAACCCAGAAAAGGAAGCAGGAGTACCCAGCGTGGCCACCACTCACCACAGGAGGAACAAAGTCCCATAGCCCCGCCACCTGGGTGTCTGCCCCTCCTGACGAGTGCCCTCTGCACTTGGCAATAGGCTGGTCCTCAGGGAAGCCTCTGCCTCCAGAGGAAGCTGTGCAGGGCACCAGCTGGGTCCTGCACAGCGGCTATGTCATGCCATGGGAAGGGTCCTACAGACCTCTGCTCCATGAAGGCTGGGCCTGGGGTAGGGCACCTAATACTCTAGAAGTGCCAGGATGAGGGCCTGCCTGGGTCAGGGGGACTGCTTGCCAGAAGCCACCCCTGGTTGCTTGGCTCCCACAACCCCAGGCTCAGGGGGAAGAGAGAAAGCTAGGAGGGCAGCCCGCTCATCTGCTTGCCTGGGCTGGTTAGGCAGGGTGCTGACTTTACCAGGTCTCCTCACTAAAGAGACTACCCAAACAAAACAAGGACAACACAGGTGAACAGGTGGGCCAGGACTGGAATGGGGCTAAACAGCCAAGCAGCCATTTCAGATTCTGGCTTGGTGCGCTCTCCAGACCCTGTTCCTTTTCCATCAGATGGAGCAGGCCCTCATCTAGGGGTGGTGGTGCCTGGTCCTACCCTGATCTACCCTCCCCAGATCCACCCAGATAGTCGTAGGAGGGAGCAGGAGGTAAGGGAGAGAGGGAGTCCCACTTTGACCTGATCTGGAAGGCAAGGCAGCAGGCTAGAGGTGGACAAGCAGGTAGGGGCTGGGGTCCCAGGCGCCTCGGCTCTTGCTCCGGTTTGCTCTGGCTGCTGGACTCTGCCGAGCAAGTCCTAGTTTGGAGAGCTAGCTGCAGTGGCTGCTCCTCTGCCCCTCCCCCTCCCCACCCTCCTCCCCCTAGCCGGAGACAGCCGTTATGAAAATAGCCCAATTGGTAACCGACTGCACTTCCTCTCCTAGTGGTGGCTCCTGGCCCTCCAGCAGGCAGGCGGCAGGCGGTGGCGGGTGGGCGGTGGGGGGGAGGGGGGCAGGGGCAGGCGGTGCACGCCAACAGGCACAGGAGCCTGGCCTCCTGGAACCTCTTCCCCAAGTCCCAAGCCAGGCTGAGTGACAGCATCAACACACTCTCCTCCAGTAACAGGCCAGCCCACACTGGGTCTGGAGAAGGGAGACAAGGTATTCCGAAGGGTAGGAGTGGCGCCCCTAAGACAATCACTTACTGTCTTCCTTTGTCCATGGGACAGGTTGTTATGGGGTCTTGAGCAGCTAAGCACACTGCTTCCAGACAAAACAACCACAAAAATAATTATCTATGGAGCACTTCACAACTTAGGCAGTCTTTTCTCACCAGCCTTATTAGCCAGG